ACTTACACTGCTGAGTTTTTGGATCTTATGTGGGCAGAACAAAGGTTTTTGTCGTCCCGTTAACTGCTTAAGAAAAGAATAGCGTCCGGGTGTTGCATGGCATCCCACGCTTTTTAATGCTCTTTTTGGATCATAGCCTCATACGAAGCTGAATGGAAAATGTTCATGACTTTCCAAGGTTATGAATAAGAAAGTGCGTCAATATTAAAAAGTCCAATTTGGAACTTACAGGTCATCTCTGTTAGGAAATCAATCTGAAATGTTCTGTACCTGTCGGCAGAACCTTTTGGGGAAAAATAATGTAACGCGAAACCAATTTTCAAAAGCGTGAATAAAAAAAATTCAAGTATCCAGATGTTACTGACCGAGTGATAGTACGTCCGACTCGTGTTTCCACGCTAGTGGTTCTGGGTTCGAATCCCGGCATAGCCCAAGATTTTTTATAGAAAAAAATATGAAATACGTATTGTAAATGGTTTGACCTGTCGTCAGCGGCCCCCAACGGGTAGTTGGACATTAAACCCTCCTATATAAGAGAAATTGTTAGAAATATTTTATATTAGGTATAATATATTTAGAACCCATTGTGAAACTACAGATTTGATTATCTCCGACCATGCCGGTTATTTTCATCACATTGTTTTTCAGAATTTCTCCATATTCAGTGGCCACCACTGGCCAATAGACAAGTTGGTAGATAATAATATATTTTAGGAAAATTAATAATCCTAACTAAGAAATTAAATGGTTCTCTGTGATTTTAAGTTACCGTAAGTTGTGAGATGCTGTACGCCGGGGTTTAGAAAAGACGATTGTAAAGGCTTACCAATTAAATAATTTAATGACACCAATAATTACAGCCGTGTTACAAATTTGCAGAAATGCTTCGGTAGACCACTGTCGAGACTACAAGCTCGTTAAACCAGAATCGTATTTTCTTTTTGCGTTACCGCTCGAATAAAGATAACGATCCGTTTCTCGGGCAAGGGATGAAAATTGCATTCTCTGGCCTGTGTTAGTGAATAGAAATGGACCTGATTTTTCCTCTATGACAATGCAAGGCATCGTATTTCCCCGAGTGAGTGGCAAAAGGTGGCACTTGGGCTGGGATGTTATCTCACCCTCCATAATTCCATATTCGTCGGGATTATCGGCTTCGGATCAATATTCCGGCTGAGATAAATTATTTAAATAAAAATCGACAAGGGTAGTCCGCGTGGTTGATTATCTCCGTTCGTTTTGCCTGGACTTATCCGTAACCACCCGTCCTAGTCCTTCAGATTGCCTCCGGATAAAATGAAAATAAATAAATGACGCCGAAAGATTAAAAACTCAATCTACGCCTTATTTTACAAACGAAAGACCCTGAAGATGGTGCACAAAGTCCTGGCAGAAAAGGTCGAAGAGAATCAACTAAGGCACCCTGGGAAAATTTTATTGACAGTTTCTCACGATAACATGAATTCGAAACGCGTCCGAGATGATAATTATGCTGAAGGGGTTAACACTATCGAAACGTCTGAACCAGTCAAAAGTGTTCCTCAAATAAATAAACAGTGTCAATAAATGCTGATGACCTCTTGTTTCTCAGTCCTTAGTCTACTTCATAAAAATGATTCCAGCAATTCTTCTGGCACCTTTTTTTGTTTTTGGCATAGTAAAATGTCTTCCACATTCCGATCAAACGCCGTGATTGTTGGTTGTTGGTTTAGGCTGTATAGGTTGGTGACACCTTCTGTGGTAACTAGATAACAGATGATCAGGCATCAATTTGACCTTTTAAAACCTGATTGGCTATAACTAAAGAACTAGATAATGATATGCGAATGTAAAAATCTAAAACCTTTTCGCATAAGCAGAGATGATCATGATGATGATGCTAAGAGGATAGCGGGAGTTTGGCATTATCCAAGGACTACAGCCTTCTGGCTTATTGTAGTTTTCGTAGTATAAGTTCCATAGTCTAGTTCAATCGAATCGATCTTTCTTTAAAGAAGAAGATACCATTGACTGTCATTATTACCATTTTCCCTCCGAGTCTTCTTGCTACTCAAGGTTATGTCTACATTGAGCTGATGCTTCGCATTCGAACATGCTGTATATTCAGGGATTTAAATTACTCAACTTTAGTTTTAGCAATTTAGCCCTGAACCCACAACATCGTTGGGAATGCCTGAACGAAGGAGTTTCCCCGCAAAACCACCTCAACCCTCGACAAAACTTTAAAATTGTTGGTGGCACTTTCTCAGATACTATTTATTGATCGGTGTCCTTAATACTTTCAGTTTTTACCCAGTCTAACCGTAGAAATGTGCTTGCCTGGTTTGGTTAGGTTTAATCATGATTTTACTATGTCTGGCGCCTATTAGTTTTTGTAGACCCATTCTGAGATGGAGTATGTTTCATGTTGTTTCAATTATAGGTTCAGCGGCTATTATGACCTTCCAGTCCCTTCTCGGGCCAGTTCGTTGGCTCGTCCATTACCCGAAATTCTTTTGTGCCTGACCAAAATGTCTGGTTGTTATCCCAGGACATGGAGATTTTGAATGCATTCACTGACTATTATGGTGTAACGTTTTATAAGCTGATGCAATTTAGGGCTGCGTGGCTGTCTGTTCGCATAAGGATTTTTGACCATATAACCTCCTGTAAGATTAAGGCGCAAGCAATGATGTATTTTTTGAAAGACAGACATGTATTTTCCTACTGAGTTTGGTTGCTCTTGTATTGGGGCTTGCGCAGGATGATTTCCCCCTGACTAGTATGACAATAACAACTGCTTCCAGATTCCACTTCTAAATATTAGCATATCTAGCCATCCACAATACGTATGAGAGAAACAAATGGCAAACAATCAATTCAAAATGTGTTTATCAAAACTCAATTTATTTTAGGTGTTGTGTTTGTATTCTTCAGGACAAAATAGAAGACTAAATTCACGGTAATACTTTGTAACTTTATGGTAGTTTTCCCGGTTCCATACTACAGGTTAATCACCTCGCAGTCCCCTAAGAGTAAGCTTACATTTGATCAAGATTAGTTTATAATACTGTCAGATTTCCATTTGATCTTTAACATGTGTTTGTAAAGTTCTAAATGAAGACCTTAAGATATGTATATATGGTAATTTCACGTGTTTTCTACTAAAGCACACGTTATTTCACACTAATTCTGATTTTTTAGAGTATACTGCTGAATACCTCCATTGTATTTAATCCTTATAGCGTAGAAAATTGCCAAGGAAAACAATGGTGGTTTGGTTTCATTAGGCCTCGAACTACAACATACCGACCCTTGTTTAAATTTGAATAATTATAAAAGGTTCTCAACTAGTCAGAAAAACCCCAGTTAAACGACATACGGTGGCTTATAATGTCGACTCATTCGTACCTGAGGATGTGAATTCAAATAAACCCACTTTCCGCCAGCCCTGTGTATTTTCATCCGGTGGAAAATGAGGGGGTAAGAAATCCTATTATTCGGCTTTAAAGTCCCTTTCCCTTCATTTAGAAATAAAAGTGACGCCGGGGGCATAGCTTTTTCCGTGCATAAAACTTTCCTTTTCCTTCCCTTTTTTCTCCCAGTACCGAGGAATATTTTTATACGATTAATTCAAGAAGAAAAATTGAACTATATAAACTTTACTGTTTCATGTTTCATCAAAAATTGAAATGAAAATTACTAATGGTGTTAATAAATTTTCTTTTTTATTTTAAGTGATTAGTTTTCTTTCGCGTGACACTTAGGGTAGAAATGAGCCTGAGATTCGCAACATTTTCTATGTAATAAAAATTACACATTTACAACCGTCTATTATGACCACTGTGTTGGTAAACAATCACATTTTCGAATCGTAAGTGGGTCAGGTGCACGAGTAAAATCCGTCCAAAGGAAAGTGTTCCCTTCTAGGCACACGAATGATGGATTAGTAAGTAACGGTGAGAGCGAGTGCAGTCAGAGCAACAATAAATAGCCTAATATTAGCCCGGGCGGTTTTAAAAGAGAAACCAGAAGTTTTATTTTTGAAAGCGGGCACTCGGCCAAAAACGCCGCGATGTCAAGAACTTTTTCCGGGTTGAGGGCGCGCATCTTGGCCACATAAAAAAACACCATCGAGAGTAACCTTTGAAATGAATGAACTCCTAAAAATCTATAATGAAATTCTTTTTACGTTTTAAATGTAATTCATGCGTCACGCACGCAAATGGAGGAACAAAAGATATACACAACCGTGATTAATTTGCCCATCGCGATGTTCTTGAAGTGGTCGTTCATCCTGTAAACAGCCTCCTTTTAAGGCCATCGTCGATCGGCTCATTGAATATCCTTGAATTTGTTTAAAACTAAAATGGAATTTAAATAAAATGCGCTGAATGAGCAAAGAATAAAATTACGTTAAATAACTTATACACCATATTTGGACCGCGGAGTGTTTAGGGCGATTGATTCTTATTTGCCAAGCTAACGGTTCTGGGTTCGAATCCTGGCATAGCCTTTTAATTGAGAATAAAATAGAAAAAAACCGTTGTGAAGAACCTTTCTTCCGCGACACCCAGTGGTAGTTGTAGCTGGAAGTAGATGGTATGACAGGAGTTACTTTTACTTTTCTAAATTATTATTGGGTAATCCTATTTTTATTGTTGATGCCATGTCACTCATTATGATCATGATATAGACAAATAATTCCTGAATAGAACTAAATTTGGGATGATAAAAAAAATTACTGAACCAAACTTTAATCAATTCTAAAAATGAAATATAAAACATGTGATACTAGTTGCCTAAGTAGAAATTAATTGAAGTGCCATACCGTTCTTGTTGAGGGGGCATCGACATGAAAGAAAAACCAGTACGTGAAGGAACGCGGAATGAAACTATCTTAAAGATGGTAGTCAGATTGTGCTAGATATGCAACCTGAAAGTTTATAACACACCTATTTACAAGCAACAATTGAATAAAAAAAATGGTTTTAATTTATTTTATCTGTTTTATGTTTTAGAGTTGCAGATCGGAAGAACGTCGGGAAAGGACGACAGAGGGGAGCAGGGAGTTGCTCGAGAGGGTCCTGGAAGGTCCTGGCCCTTATCCTTCCGTGGTCCTTCCGAACGGGGGTGGCTACTGGGTAGATTCCGGAGACACCCCTCAGACGTTACCACCTTCGACAGACCACCAACCTAAATATTACAGGCACCACTTCCTAGGCCAGGTAAGAACTAGTAATTTTCTCATTTGTACCAAGGTGATGACTGTTGTCTGAAATGTCAAGAGGGTGAAGAGAATTGACCTTCAACATGTAAATCTATTATCTGTTTCTTTAATGTCAGGAGGGGCCGGAAATTAAAAAACAAATTTCAGACTCTTCGTTTCGGTACGAAATACCACCAAGTTTTAACAACAATCGATTGACTAGTAAGGCTTGTAACAACTGCTTTTCCCCCACCGGACATCGAGTTCGTTGAGAAGCCATAACGGTTGCGGTGTGCTGAAGCCAATTTTGGAAGTAGCAAGCACCACTGACCACAGCAAAACAATGCTAGCATTTTTAGGTTTAGTGTGATATCGAATTACTTTAATGGTCAATGTGTTAATTATATTTTATATGGCGGAGTAATAAAAATAATACCGAGTTCAAATCCTCCAATTCTTCAATGTTTTATTTATTACGTAAGGCGATTAGAAGTATTGTCTAATCACCACATAATAATAATAATTTGTATTGTTAACAAACTTTACCTTAGCGTCCACTAATCGTTTAAGAACTTTATAAATTGTATTTTGTTAAAATTGCCAGAGGGTAATTTTTTATACTTATATATATTTATGTGAGACATTCAATGATTGATCTGTAAATCGCCAAAATTCGACTGCTGTTATAGTAATTAAACTAAAGAATTTGAAAAGTCCTAAATCTAAACATTCAAAATATTAGTAGATATTGAGTGTAGTATTATTTAAAGCTAGATTTTTTTATATAATAATACACAAAACGTAAAAACTTGTTTCCCCATCCACTATACCGATGCCGCTGTTCTGCTAGGCTACATCCTTGGCGCCATTCTTTATTCAATATACATTACATACATTCAATTCCAGTCAATTCTTATATCAACTCCTCACATACGTAGATGATATGGACACATATGTAGATGATATCCTCTCAGCTAATGCAGATCCAGTAATAGCCTATAGAACCTCCAGGGCCATCTCTGAAGAATGGTTCAAGAAATTAAAGATCAAAGTGACTAAAACCAAATCCCAGCAAATTACCTTTGCACTTATCTACCCCAGTTTACTACAATTATGTTCCTCTCCCAGTGATCAATTTCGTTCACTGTTTCGGATTTTATTAAATTGACAAAAGACTTACTTGGACCTCATATTTGACTCAAAAAAGTAAAACTAAACCGAAGATATAAATTATTCAAAAGACTAATTGATAACGGTTTCAAATACTTATGGCAAAATAACCTCTTCTTTGCGCATTACTATAACCAATCTGGACAGAATTGAACTGTGGTGTTCAACCAAGCATTCGAACCTCCAAAGAACCGAGTTCCAACCTCTTCACATGATATGTGGACGATACCGCCATCCTCTCAGGTAACCGCACCCAACAGTGGCCTTCATAAAGCTCCAGGACAATGGATCAGACTCAGTGAAACCTAATCCTAGCAAATCACTTCCCTTTCGCCGTGTCACTTCTTTTCCTAACTATTACAACTTAGTTGCTCTCCCAGCCACCAATATCATCCGCCATTACAACCAACCAACCGCCCTTTCCTACATCCAACAAATCCAGTCGTTCTTTCAATTTCACACATATTATGTGGACGTAACGCCTTTCTCTTAGCTATCCGATACCTTCAGAAATCTCAACGACCATCTCTACTGTTAGGCAGAATGGTTATAAAATGGAGGATCAAAATGAACGAAACTTAATCCCAGTTCACCCCTAGCTGTATCGCCTTCAATCTATTACAACTCTGTTCTCTTCCAAGGGGCTAATGTTGTCCGCTATTACATCCAATCTGTTTGTATGGAAGTGGTTACTCTTAGCTGTTCAATTTTTACGTAATAATTAAATATTATATGCAATAACATGAAAAAATAGCAAACATAAAACTTAAGTTAAAACTGTAGAAAAACCGGTAATGAATAAAAAAATGGTCAACATTATTCGTCAACTACTTCTTTTATGGTGTATAAATATGCTTAAATATTAATGCCCTCCTGTTCATTCAGTGATTTACAAATCTGTCACACCAATAAGTATTTTACGTAAGGAAACAAAATATAAAATTGTTGAACATTTTAATATGAGTATAGGGATGGGTGTTCACGTTTTTAGTCCAGCTTAAACAACTTTGCTCTGCCTCGCTTGTTTTGTAACTCTTATTGTTCTCCCGTTGGGCAAGAGTGTGCTTTAATAATTCATTGTTATTCAGAGCAACTGAAGAGCTGAGGGCTTTTAGGGAAATGCAAACTGGGCCAATCCGCCAACCTACATCGCAACGACGATCCGCTTGAACGAAACTGGGCCAATTTGTAACAAAAGTAACATAATAAATACCGGAGCGATTTCATCTTAAAACCTTTTTCCAATCGTAGGTTTTACAACAAAATATATTGTGCATACTATTTATGTTGGTGTTGAATTATATCGCAGGCTCTAGGACTAAAAGCAATTTAAACTATTTTATCTAGGACAGTCTACAAACATGGAATCAAGGATAATAGTAAAACTTTTTTTGTGATTATGGATTAAAATATTAGACAAGTGTCTCGGACCCTGAGTTGAGATATTTTTTAGCTAATTTACGTATATATTTTTTCTAAATGTGGGTTTCTGTCTGTGTGTATTTCCACGTTACTATATACTAATCAATTCTTTTTTTTAAAATTATTTAGAGAATCGTAACTATATCAATAAACTTTGGGGGAGGGGAAGCATTAGCGAATGCACGGTGCAGCGATGGTTTCAGTGATTTCGTCTTGGAGATTTTGATCTAGGTCGCGGTAGGTCTTCTGTTGGGGAGGACGACCAACTCAAAACTCTGATTGAAGAAAATTCACGTTAGACAACACGGGGAATTGCGAAAGAGGTTCACCGTTCAACCTTCGTTGATTGTTGTTGACCAAATTGTTAAAAAAAAGAAGCTCGACAAGTGGGGACCGAACGAACTAATAGAAGCCCACAGAAATCGTCGCTTTGAAAACTGCACGTCTCCTCTGTTGCGCCACCAAAATGATACATTTCTGGAGAGAAGAGAAATAGATTCTGTACGATAACAGGAGGCGTACAGGTCAGTGGTTGGACAAGGGTGAAGCGCCAAAACACTTTCCGAAACCAAATGTACTCCCAAATAAGGTTATAGTGCCAGTTAAGTGTACTGGTGGGGTTGTTCACTGTAATTTCCTGAATTATGGTGAAACTATCACAGCAGAAATATTGCCAAGAAATTGACAAAATGCATGAGAAACTGCAACGTCTTTGTCGAGCATTGGTAAACCGTAAGGGGCCGATTCTTCATCTCGATAACGGCAGGCCACATGACGCACTGCCAGCCCTACGGAAACTTAAAGACTTAGGATATGAAACCTTACCGCACCCTCCATATATTCACCTGACCTCTCGCCTATTGACTTCCACTTTTTTGGGCATTTTCATCACTTGTTGAAGGATACAATTTTTGGAGAACGGGGAAAAGCCGAAAATGCCATCCAAGACTTTATTTTCAGTCGAAATAAGGGGGGCCACTTTGTTGTCGCCGATGAGCGGCGTTCCAATTAAAAATTCATAATACTCTGGATTGACTCTCCACGATATTGTAACTATCGGGTTGTCCGGAAAATAATGCAGGATTTTAAGTTTTCATTAAAAAAAATCTATATAAAATATTCTGTTTACGTTTACAGGATTACTCATTTGTATGAATGTNGATGTAGGTTTCAGAAAAACATTTTCTTTATCGTGCCAACGTTTCGATCTTTAATGAGATCATCTTCAGGGATCAAAGTGTTTGTCTTCTGTGTAATTGTGCCATTCTTGCGTGTCGTGTTGAGAGCACACTTTGATCCCTGAAGATGATCTCATTAAAGATCGAAACGTTGGCACGATAAAGAAAATGTTTTTCTGAAACCTACATCACACCAGACCGCATCTCACGATTTCGGAATAATTATCGATTAACGTTCACTAATAATCACTACACATTTCTACACGAGATATTATAACTGTTGGAAAGCTGCATTTTGCTTCTTTCAATCTTTGGGATTTTATATAATTATGAGAGAAAAAATAGGAACGTAATCAACAAAAAATTTTCCAAACGTTTTATTTTATATCTCCGGTTCTAAATTATTTACAAGGGCAAATTTATGCTATTATGTGCAGTTTATAAGTTAAAAACGCCATCAAATTGCCTGTAGATCAGCGGATGTTTTTTGCAAAATTATCACAGTTTTGTGATTTTTGAAAAACTTATAGACCTAAAGAGCACGAAAAATTGCAACGAAAAAAAAAGGATTTTTTTTATTTTCCCCAAAAACATGTATTCAGAGGTTTATATGTTGCAGAAAACGGCTCTTAATTGAATTGTTTGCTTAAAAGAATATTTTAACCTGCTTTGTTACTTCGCTCGGTCATTATGTATTGAATTTTAATAGATAGGTCGAATTTGTTTTCACAGATTGGTTAGATTCGTTTCGTGCTTTTGTAAAGTAGGTTTTTGACGTAGAATCACCAAACAAGATTTCATTGAAATCAGTGTTCCCACCTCCATAGCCTCTCCTTGTAAGTATTGCTTACTTACTATCTTGATCAAACTTGGACTACAGTAAAATATTATAAATTGTTCATAATAAAACTTTCTTGTGAGGAATGGGAGAATAGACTGGTCGAAGGCCATTGTGTAAAAAGTACAAATTTCAGAATCACGTTCTGAACTGTAAGTAAGAATGGGTTTAAATTACGGTGGACGTGAACTCCCTTCGTGATAAAATGTTCAACTTAAATTTTTCTAAATGGATTTTGAAGTTCTTTTATTTTTTCTGGACTGAAAACATTTTGATAACAAAATGATCCTGGTCAAAATATTCAAGTTGATGTTCTAAACAAAGTTGAATATTTTCGTTTTTGATGTTGATGTTGTAAACAAAGTTGGATTGTATTTAATCAACAAAAATAGATTTGTGTTTAATTTATTTTTCTTTGGGTAATTAAGAAGCACTAACCGTTTTTACAGACCTCCTTGGTTGAAGACTATTAATTCGGTTGAGACCCCATACCGTGACAACTGGTTTTATGTCTACCTCCTGCTTTGTTGTAAAATGCTTCTATAACAACTTGAACAGTGGTCACGTATGTAAGATTTTCAGAATGTAAAATTGACTGGACGTGGTAATAACTTTACTTCTTTAAATTTTGGATTGATGTGGAAAGATAATACATGGTTCTGAGAGAGAAAAAAATCATATGCTGCGATCAAGCGTTGGTGTTTGCTGGCATGCAATGTGATTTAAACCGCAAAGTCTAATTTCCAGTGTAAGTGCATATCAGATCTGATTGTTATCTTGTTCTCACAACGCACTAGTCAAAAGTTAAGATGGGCAAGCCAACTCGTTATGAATAACAGGCTGGAGAGAAAAATAAAAAAAGAAGATCCGGGCCATACTTAGATGTTGGTGCAATTGACCGTTCTTAGTCTAGAAATTGATCGCCACCTCGGCTGGGACTTCTCCCACAATTGTTCAGCCTGGATCTCGGTCCCACGAACGGTTTTATCTACGCCAGGATTGTTCTGGCGTTTCTCACCGGGTAACGAACCCGGCCTCTTCACGGGTGGGAACAGTTCCGCGTCTTGGCCAACGTTTGAATTTATGGAGAAGAGTAAGCCGGTGGTCTTTTACGGGGAGAAAGTCGGCCCGCTTTTGAAAACGAGGGGTATATTGGGGGTTGGGATTCATCCCAGGGATTAGTTCTAAGGTCTAATTTTAGAAATGCATTACAACCATAATGTAAAAACAGATGTCATTAGTGAAGACAAAGCTTTAAATTTTTTTAACTAGACTCTAGACTCTGTGCCAGTTTTGTCTATAAAAGAAAAAATAATATCAAGAATAATCTGAAAACCCGTATTTCATTTCTCTAACTTTCTATATCGCGCTATCTCATCTACCTAAAAGTTTCTATTTATGTGATTGTCTCTCCGCATTCTATCTTCTCTCATTTCTGCATGCTTCACATTACAATATTACATGAAAACACAGATTTGTACATTGTTTAATTTCACTATTTATATCTACTAGTGTACAATTATTGTACACAACTAGCAGAATGGATTGCTGAAAATGGTACACAATTCACATGTCACTCAATATAACACTTTTGTCTGGAGGACCCACCTGCCTTGGTGGGTATGCTTCTCGATAGAATATCTCGGAGAAAGAAGCTCATCTATTGTCAAAGAGTTCATACTGGAACAGGATTGCATGTCTGCCATTTTACACCATCAAATGGCAAACCGGATCCTGTAGTTTTGTAATCACGGGGATATACTCTGTTCCATCCATGGCCTAGTTCATGGGTCATCCTGTAGAACAAAATTGCACTTAATTATCGAGGCTAGGGGAAAAATGCCTTTGTGCGATGATGACCCCTTTCAGCAAGCGACCAACATCGTTCTCACCCCTTTAACTATCAAACAATGACAAAGCTGTCTTCAAATTAATTCAGTACCAATCTTTAGATATTGGTAGACTAATATCTTCAGAAGTTACTTGCGCTAGCATATGCGTTCAACTTACCCAAGAATATACTGCCACAAAACATGTTATCTGCAATTATGGTCAATTCCACGTCACTACCCTTATAATTGTATACCTTTTGTGTATTACTCCCATCTTTATCCCTACTGGAGGGATACTGGCAATAGCGCAGGGTCCCTTAGAACTAGATAATAAGATGCTGGGAAAAAGGAGAACTTTCTTTGTCATAGATGATACACTGGATATGAACTTAAGTCTGGTATGTTACACCAACACAAGAAAAAAATCCTGTAGTACTTTGAATCTATGAAGATATACTCGTTGCCGATTGAAGATATACCTGAATTCCCTGGTCTGAAAAACTTGGGACAAACAAGACACTTAATTCTGGAGGTTATGGTGAGGGAAAACTCTATTGCGTGTTGACATTTCAGCAAGCGACCACCATCGTCCCACCCCTGTCGCATCCATACGTCATCAAGACATCCCTAGTGGACTCCAGTTCAAATTCCTCGTCAATACAACTTGCTATACCGCACACTAACACGCCACTTGATCCGCAGACTGGGAATCCGTTGAATATTCTGAGAAAGAAGAGTCTCTGAACTCTGAGGATTAATTTCATATTGTCCTTTTTGTTTAGCCCATTGTACCAAACTGGAAGATTGTAAGCACTATCATATAATACGTGTAAAGCTTCATCTCTCACTCTCTCTCCCATCTCTCTTTCATCTCTTTTTTGTATCCCTTCAAGATCGTACACTCTCCATTTCTCTCTCTTTCTTTCTCTGACCCCCTCCCAATTCGTGTATGTGTGTATGTTGTTTTCGTTCTAATGAAACATGAAATTATACGAACTTTAACCGTATTTATTTACTTTAAAAATATATAACTGAATACTAATAAATTTTATTACTAACTAGGACTATTATTGACCCTACATACTGATACAACCATCGTGACACACCATATCGCCAGCTCTTTCCCCAGATTTATGTTAACTCTAGTAGGTAATGTGAAGTCATGGTAAATTGCAAAACTTATTTATAACTTAGACGTTGCAACAGACTTGTTGGAAATGACGGTAAATGAGTCTCACGCGAATATATAACATGAACCGGGTCATCAGCCTTCTAACCAGACACGACGGCAATCTTATTACTTTTCTGAGACAGAATACACAAGTCATCTTCTGTAATTATTTTTTTAAAGTTATATTTATTGTAGATATTCTAAAATAAGACAGATAAGCAACGATCTCAAATTTATATCGATTAACTAAGATATGAAGCTACTTTAAATCACAGAAACTGGCCAAGCAATTTTTACGCAACAAAGCTGTTATGAGGGAGTTCGTTGTTGACAAAAAAAATTCGTTTGATGGAGAAGTGGTGAAACAATCGGCAACTGGCCGTTTTGCTTCGGCCGGCACCTGCGATGGAGTGCAGCTGGTGATCGTTTAGCCAGGCTGTTTGAACCCAAGAAGGACAGATGGAGCCGAAAGCTAAAAAGCCCTAAATCGGGCGTCCCGAATTCAGAAAAAGGAGACAGGACAAATCGTGAACTACACCCCACCCCATTCCCTATTTCGTTTTCGATTTAACACTATTTGTGCAGCGGTTGCAAAAGGATTCGTGACGGGTGGGACAAACGCGGGTACGAAATCACAATTTCTCGGGTCGGTGTCGTTGCAATCTCGACACCCGGGAAATCGGTCACTGCTCGATTTCTATCTAATGGGTGGCTTGCCTTCGGTTTCATATGCTGGAAGCCTAAACCAATAAACGAGCGGTTGGAAAGATCCATCAGTTCTGGAAAACGAAGGCCGATTAATAAGAAAATTAGATCAATAAGTTTCAAATGTAGCTGAAGGTTAAAAGTTGTTTCTGTTAAAACTAGCTAGAACTAAAAAAAGTTAGTGGTTATTACGTAGGTTAACAGAACTTTATTTCCCAAGTAAATCGACTACGTGTTCGCAGTCCCATATAATATTTCCACATGTTGATAGGTTTTCAATTTATTTATATCCTTTCTGGCAGTTGGTCTTGTATGTTAATAAATATACTTTCAGAACAAATAACATTTAGATATAATACGGAACTGGCAAAGAATTTCGTTGAAATTTCGTTCCCAGTTCAGTATGGAAATATTTTATGCTTTAATGATTCAAGAGGTCCGAACTTAACACACTCCAACATAGAAAGAGTACTTAACATCTATTGAACAGCAGGGGAAACGGGATTAAAGGATGATAGCCAACTACTTCTATCGTGAGGTTATGTCCATAACAATGAAATTTAGCATTTAGTAAAAATTGAAAAGGGTTTTGAACGCAATGGTATCTTGAAAAAAAGAAGGTATCGTCTGTCACCAATGTTAAATTTAAATATAATTATTAAACTTCTTATAGACCTGGTAATGGTTATATTTAAGTATTTTAATGACAGTAGTTTTGATAATAAAACGATTTACATGCTTTATCCCATTATTTTCAAATCGGACAATTGTATATTTAACTTGTTCTTATATTTTCCATAATATATTGTCTTTTTTATTCCAATTTATATAATGTGGGTTGAATTTATAACGTTTTTTTTTCTTTCAGGAACATATTAACCTGACGGGATGGGATGACGTCCACGGTCCAGTATTGGTCTCGGTCAAATACGAGACCATCGAAGACCAGACAAGGATAGTTCTTAGGCTGAAGACCGGCACTGTCCAACACCTCCTATCGTCCACAAACTCACCACCTCTCAACGTCGTGAAGGTAAATTAAATTTAACCCGTTTTTCCTTTCATATGTGCGGTTTTTGTCCGGTTAAAATGAAAAATTTCATCCTTTTATTCGCCCTTGTAAATCAGGTGGTTTTAATACGGTACTACATTGTAGTACGAATGCCGTAAAAAGTTGGATGTTTCATTAGCTCGGCGTTATTAAGAAGAACAAAAATCGGCGAGGGCAAAATGAACCTTGGAGGAGAATAATTACGGCGTCGTTACGAAACGTTCTTGAAGGATATCTTGCATTCCGTGTCAAACAAGATCTTTTTACGATCCTCGACTCATAAACGATTGGGCTGTTTTGCAATTTGTCAACTGTACGATTTAAAACTCTGGAGGATACGCTGTGGTGGGTATTGGAAATTTTAAACAGCGTCTTGGGATTTCTTTCTCATAATGAAAAGCCGCCTGTCCAAACGAGCGTTCAAATACAGAAAAATTAAATAAAAGCGTGGGAAAAAGGTAATGGCGTAATCTTTAAACGAGCTTTATTTGAACAACTTTCTAGACAAAATATCTTCAGGCGGTTTAATGTGTACGTTTAAAGATACGTCAACAATGCTTTAAATTCTCTCAAGATTCTCAGTCTTTAGTTAATCAGTCGCATTTATATTGTGTTGGTGCAAAATTAATGCAGATTTTGAAAATTTGTTTTATTTTCGCAGGTTGTCAAATAAACAAAGCTAAATCATCAAATCTAATTTATGGATTATAATAAATACTTTTAACTGGTAGCTTTTATACAAAACATTTTAGTAAATATTGAATTTTATAAGAGTGAGGACCTGCGGAATTAAATTTGTCCTAAATTGATTTTCGTCAAATTTATTCGTACGAATTTAAGCTTGGTCAAATAAGTTTGGGAAGAGGAAAACATTAACGAATGCACAGTGCAGCGATGGTTTCAGAGATTTCGTCTTGGAGTTTGAATCTCGAAGACTGGGAAGGCCTTCCGTTGTGGACGACAACCAACTAAAAACGTTGATTGAAGAAAATTCACGTTAGACAACTCGGGGAATTGCGGAAGAGCTTAGTGTTGATCGCTCAACCGTTGTTCGCCATCTGGAGTAAATTGGTAAAGTAAAGAAGCACGAAAAGTGAGTACGGCACGAACGGACGGAAGCCCTAAGAAAGTGACGCTTTGAAATTTGCATCTCTTCTGTTGCGCCACCAAAATGATCCATATCTCGATCAAAACATCAGGTACGATGAGATATGGATTATGTACGATAGCAGGAGGCGTGCAGGTCAGTGGTTGGACATGGATAAAGCGCCAAAACACTGCCCGAAACCATATCTGCCCTCAAAAAAGGTTATGGTGGGGTTGTGCACTATAAATTCCTGAATTATGGTGAAACTATCACAGCAGAAAAATATCGTCAAGAAATTGACAAAATGCATGTGAAACTGCAACGTCTTTGACCAGCATTGGTAAACCGTAAGGGACCGATCCTTCTTCACGGTGACGATAAGTCACATGTCGCACTGCCAGACCTGCGGAAACTTAACGACTTAGGATTTGAAACCTTACGTACCCTACTTACTCACCTGACCTCTCGCCTATGGACTTTCACTTTTTTAGGCATTTTGATCACTTCTTGAGGGCTAAAATTTTTAGAGCGATAAAGCCGAAAACGCCTTTATTGTTTGCCGAAATAATGATTTTTATGTCGATTAAAAGAGCTAATTATACGTTAGCAAAGATGTATAGATTGTTATTGAAAATATTTCGAAAAAATTTTCTTTATTTTATAAAAATTAACAATACTTTTGACTGTTTTCAAAACCTGCATTATTTTTGCACCACCCCAATATCAAGAAAGAACACCACAGACCGCAAAATTACACATTGGAATTACAATTACATGTTAGATTTGATGATTCACTGTAATAGATAAGAATATTGCATCTATACTTTAGTCGTTTGTAATTATTTTGCCTTGTCAGACACGTTTCCTTACTGAAGTTGGTGTGCAGCAAAAAAAAGTATGGGCGAAAATAAATTCATATAGTTAAGAGATCGGATTCGAACAGACCAAAATTAGCCAATGTTAGATTTGAGATAGCTATTTGTGGATTCCAGAGAATTCTTATATTTTATTACATTCCTTGATATCTGACCAAGTTCTTGTCTCACATGTTCAACTTTTTTTTTCAGGCGGTAAACAGGGATTTGAGCCTGGCGTGCCTCGAGCCCGTAATGTGCCCAAGGGCATCCCACCTCATCGCCGCGTACGACGAACACGTCCTAGTCTCACAGTACAAGTTCGGTGTGCTATACCAAAGGTTCGGCCAGACGGCGGAGGAGCAGCTTTTCTCAAACAGGGCCTCCAGCCCGGCCTTCGACGAATTCCTCTCCTGCCTCGGGCATAGGATCAACCTCAAATACCACAAAGGGTAAGCGTTTCAGAATTCGCTTTGCATATTTCGATTCATAACTGGAATACCAGCCTACTTTACCTTATTTATTTCCAAATTAGTCTGTTTACAAAAGTAGATGAATTTTTAAATTCACTACATACTTTATTTATAAAACAAAATATCATAAAATAGACAAAAGGTAGAAAATTAAATGATCTTTGTGATATTACAATATTATAGGTAAACAGTGCTGTTTGTTGTACGTCGCGTTTCGTTTCAACCTTAACGAAATTGGGAAGATTTTACAGTAAACCCTCTCTCTTATCATAAGATCAATAATGACCACGTGATACCAGCGATAACCGAAAATATAAGCCACAGCAGTGCAGACACGAAAGTTGATTATTTATTTAACTATACCTTTTTAAACCTCAGCAGTTGAAATATTGCACAAGTATTGCAGTAAAATATTATGAATAATCAAGGATTTGTTAATTCATTTTAGCCATCGAGAGGAAAATATGGTGTTTTAGTATTATGACAGCATTATTTCCTTAAGGGGGATTATCTAATAATTCAATGATCTGGAGGGAATTTGGAGTAATGGCAAAACTCAACTCAGGAATTGCATTGCGTAATAATACAAAAAGGGTCTTGTTATTTTTTCTGTTTGAAGCAGTAAACTTTATTTCAATATCACAAAAAACTGTAAATGCTTAGATCTGATCACTACCTGGCTGATATGATATGACAGTTGTTTGTATGTACTCTCAGTTCAGATCCTATTGAGTTCCTTGAAGCTCCTTTACCTCCATACGTCCCAACTCCTACGATCCGACGATGTACCATCGTATTGTACCCCCTTTGACTGTGGGTTTTTTTTCACCATTCTTTCTGTTGCTTACGTTAGTCTGGATATAAGGAATGTATCTGACAAAAGCTACATGACATATATTTTAAACAAATAATAAAGTATTTTTTTTATTCGGTTAAGCAGAAAAATCCTGAATCTGTTCATTAAATTTGTAGAAAAAAATTCAGGATTTTATGTTTACTTGCTAAAGGTTCTCAGTTCTATCTGTGTTTTCCCTTACACGTGCGGTTTTTGTTTTTTTATATCCTTTATATTCTGAAACGTATTGAAAAGAGATAAATCGTACTGTCGAGGCAAGGGCCCATTTCCTCAATAGTGCACACGTTGTACGTTGTTACGTTAATAAAATATAAATTTACTAGAGGATCAATTTAAGGCTCTACCGGCAGGCTTATGTGGCAATAGCGGGGAACCCTTATTAACATTTCACTGTAAATAAACGCCCACCGTCTTAGAGGGCTTTTCTCATATGTCCTCAATGTGCCTTCACTAACTTCAGTTGGCTTTGTCGTTGAACAAACTTTTCCCGACGGGCTGGGAATATTTTAACCGTTTATACGAAAATTGCTTAATGGGAGGGAAAGGTGTTGCTCTTGACTTGTGTAAAACGAGTACGAAATTGTTTGAGTGTCTTCACCTAAGATTGATATAAGTACGAGGATCCTGTAAATAAATTTTCTTTAAACCGAATGAATCTACAAAAAACATTGTATTTATCGTGCCAACGTTTCGATCTTTATTGAGATCATCTTTAGGGCTCAAAGTGTTTGTCTTCTGTGTAATTGTGTCATTCTTGCGTGTCGTGTTGAGAGTGCGAATTCTGAATAATTATCGATTAACGGTCACTAATCACCACGGACTATAAAAAAACAGTTCGATTTTCACGTTTTCGAAAGCATTACTAGAGCTAAAACAATTTAAAACAACTTAGCATAGGATTTTTTAAAATAAATTATTTATTTGTAGAAGACATGCCGTCATTATTCCTGTACTAGTGAACGCGGAGGACACAGGTTAAGAGAAGCCAGCAAGCATTAATATGAGTTACTAAGGGGCGAGCAGATCTCATGGATGTCGTTTATTAAGGCTTGGGCAGTACGCTGAGTAGGAGTCCGCAAGCTTGCTGTATAACATTCGGAAGCGAAATCGGATCAGTTCATTGGCAGTGAAATATTGAAGTCATTATGAATCTAATGACATTTGATTGGAAGGTTTGATATATAATAGATATTTGATGATTTGGTGGAACCCCTCAATCCCCCCCTATCTGAAGTGCTCGCAGTAATGTCTTGTATAGGGTTAGTCGAGTTTTGATGGTCAAAACATATTTCGAGCCTTGGTCTTGTGGCTGTTCTTTGTAGTTGTCCAAGTCTTCTGTTAGGTTGTTGTCTTTCTCTCTTGTCTGCTGTCTAGTATAGTCCTAAGTATCTGACTTGAACAAAAGTCAGTAGCTCATTGTACTTAATGTACAATAGAGGGCAGGAATGTTTTTTAAATGTACAGGAATAACTGTATTCTTAGGAAGTTGGAAGGAATCTAGGAGGGTGGAGGGTGCAGTCGGGATATCAGAGATAAAGTTGAGGTATAAGAATTGCCTGAGCACACTGCCCTGTGGCACTCCCCCTCCCATATAGGGCAATATTCGGAATAGTCCGATCTTCTGCGAACTCGGATGAATCGTTCTGTAAAGAGGCGCGAAGAATTAGGTACAAGGTGGAAGGACATGTTTTAATTTGTATTGTACATCCTCATGTCACACGCGATCACACGTTTGTCTCACGTCAAAGCAGTATTGTTTACAAGGGTGATAATATGTGGTCCACCACGCGTTCACCTGCTAGGTTGTGGAATGTTGATGACGAAAGCCGAACCGGTGATCTAGGAGAATTCTGAGTTTAGTGTAGGGATCAATCTTTTCAAATATTTTTAAGAAAGGAAGTAGGCTGGACGTTAGGACAGGTTGGACTGTAGAAAGAAACTTTATGAATGGGTTTACCGGATTTTGGAAAAAGGATGGGATTGGAGTTCCAGAGGAAAGGGAAGTGAGTGAGTGGTGCGTAATATACTATTATAGAGATATGTTAGTAGGTTGATAGCATTTTTGGGGAATTCACGGAGGATTCGGGTCGTGATGATGCGTAATTTAATAACACCAAAAAATTATTAAAACAATAATGCAAATAGTAAGCCCTAACTAATTATTGATCTTATTTACAAATAGACGTGCCAGCAACTTTACAATTATGTTTACAATGGAAAAATATTATGATAACAGAATATTCACGGAATTAGTAAGGCCAAAAGTTTTCAGAACCTAGAAGAATTACCTAATCAAATGAGCATAAAAAACATGCTGTGAATAAATTATACGAGTATCCAGCAGCTAATAAAAGTTAATAATAAAGCTAGGAAATCAGGGATGAAGCTATGAAGGTTGTTGAAACTTGTTGGCTGATGTCGAGCGGTGTTTGTCGCCTTCCCCAGGACTTAGAAAACTTATTTCAAAAAACTTTATGATTAGCCCGGACATGTGGTCCGAGTAGAAGGTACCGGACAACTCAACCTTGGATCCCTGATCTCTCCTATCTTTATTTTTATCATTGAAGGCCTTTACTATACTCAACGATAATAAAAGTTAAAAGTTTACAAACAAAAACAAAATAAGTCGGAATTTTTGAGCGAATACATCTTAACAACAAAATTAGTAGGGCCAAAAGATAGCTAAAACCGAAAGAGGCACAGAATTGTGAGCCCAATGGTAGCCAAACTTGACCTGAAGCAGCTTTATATTCAGGTTTAAAAAGGAAAAATATTCTGCTTATTAAGGACCAAACGATTCTCAAGATGGACAAATCAGGAATGAATGAATATGAAAACATAAAATTAGTATAGCGAAAAGAGACTAACTGATGAATTATTCAACATTCCTAAAATCTGTTAAAATAGGATACACATTCTAATCACAAATATCTGCGGAATAAGTCTGGCTAAAAGTTTTTAAAAATTAAGTAGAGAGAACAAACTTAAAACAGCCAGCATTTTAACGAATATTCTTTTTGTTTCAATTATTCTTTGTCCTGATAAATGGTTGTGTCGTTTCTAAAACAACCAAGCAAGATTGTATAATGTTTTAAAGAGTCGTTACAAAATTCCAAGCCATGGCAATACAATGGGTGGGTTACGATGGCCGGGTTGCAAAGATCAATTACGAATTCCACAAATGGGACGACGCTGGATTCAAGATTGCGATTTTCTTTTCGTTCAAATTTTCTATATTACAATTGTATTTTTATATTTTAGATATCGAGGAGGTTTGGATACCCAGTTCGGACAAACGGGCGAAGAAGCCGTTTACCAAGTGTACAAAGAAAGCGAAATAATTTTTCACGTCTCAACCCTTCTTCCGTACACCGACAACGATCCTCAGCAACTCCAAAGAAAAAGGCATATCGGTGAGTAAACAATGATAAATATCGGTTCATGGGTTTTATTGGTTTGCAATAAAGCCTGGCAGTATTTATTTTTAAATAATATAACTTCAGAAACTTTATATTGCACCTGAGATCTCTTAAGAAAAGACATTTTAGAATTTAATATCCCAGAAATGAGATATGTGTTGTATGTCTTTTAAACTTATTAAAAAGTAAATTGCACTTTTTTTAACCTAATCAACGATTCCTGTTATTCAACAGGAGTATGTTCTTGCTTTTGTACACTACTCAAGATGTGAGATTTTTCCATTACGTCTCCGGGTTGTTGTGATCCTGCAGTTTTGCCGATCATTTTGGTTTGCCTATCCTTTCGCAGGTTTGGCCTGTCGTCTAACAAGTTTTGTTTGCAAAATGTTCGGGTGTTGGTTGAACAATGTTGAATAATCTCATCAAGCCTTACTTGAAATTTCGCCAATAGTCGTAGCCACATTTCAAAATTTGCAAGTTGTAAAGTAAAATTATCATGGGACAAACCGGCGTTTAAGCTATAGAGAAAATCAACTTAAATAAGTAACGTTCACTCACCGCTCTACGTCTTAAAATACGGCCCCTCAGAGACACGTATAGCTTGTCCCACGGCATTACTAAAATTGCACAATTTGCCGTTTATGGAAAAGCACGTTCGAAACATGCACAAAGTAGGGCAAAGGTCTTAAAAAAAACGAACACCAAAAACGACCAAATGTTCGATTTCTTTAATTACAAAAAAAATAAAGTCGTGTTTTTTTAATTATTCGACCAGTCAAATCTTGCCGAAGAAATACAGTAGAAAACGACTGAAGAAATAAGTCTTCTGAGGTGCTTGTTGAGGTTGCCTTTCACCTAGGAAGCGAGAGAGACAATAGCACTTTGACTTTTGCTCCAATGACAAAATACCAAATACCAAGGCCGCCACAGCCCCGATCTTAAAAGGGAACACTACTCCTTTCGCCTAGGGGGGTTTACATTTGATGAGTTAAAGGCCATGGTGTGTCGGCCGATCAAGACTTTTATAGACAATTGATAACACGTGCTCGAAAAGACCATAATCGCCTGAGGCTTCCTACTTGTTGAACCCTTCTGAGCTAAATAAACCTTTGCCCTTTCGAGTATTACAGACCCTATACGTTGGATGAATCAGTGAACCTATTGCTGAACAGAAACGATAATATTTTCAAACGTCAATTTTAAATAAGACAATGAAGGTGTAGAGAGGAAATAATAATACGCTCTTATCACAAAAATCAAAATGATTTCAAATATCTTACCGTAATCACTCCCTTCGTACTATGGTGCAAAACATGGCTCATAAGAATTGATGCAAATAAGTAATATGCCTGAAGTGGAAACCTACCAATACTTGTTTTGGTTTTTCAAGCACCTTTTGGAAAAGCAAACACTAGGACTTTGTGGGCAGAAGGAAAAAAGCACAAGGTATCTGTCGGCCGGCAACCCTTCCTTTGAGTTGATGATGAAGATGAAGATAAATACTCTATTATTTTTTTGGAATATGTAAAATTTATAGAAGTCAAAAAGTTCAGAAAGCTAGCACGTTAGCATAGAGTAAAAATAAATATTTTAAATTAATTTATATAAAAATATACCCAGGACCAGCATAATTTGCTGCATCGCATTTCGGATGGTTTAACAGAATGAGTTGAACCTTGTGATAAGAAAAGGGCCCGGGCGATAACCTGGAATGTAGTGTCGCACTACTAGACACCCGCTAGTCAGAATGCACCGCTCAGATATGGTACGGTCTCTTGACTTCCACACGAACCTAGGCTTCTTTCCTCAAAAAACGAACCACAATGATTCAACCCAAGATTGAGAAGAAACGAACGAAAATTTGACGACTACAATGTCTGAACCTGGAACATCTTTATGGAATGGCGCAATGAGGGGGTAAACCTGATTTTTTGAATTTGCAAATTGAAGGTGCAAACGAAAATCCACGTGACATAGAGAAAGGCTTGGTTACCACAGATGCATCAGGACGTACAAGTACAAAACGGGACTGTCATCACAGTTATAGTGCATACCCGAGGTTCTGCCAGTTCTGCGGCTACAGGGCGAGGCAAAAAAACACATGTACGAACAACTGCGAAACCAAATCCTCTGTTTTAAAAATGCTATTATTTCCTCCTCCTTGATAACATACAAAATTATGATTTTTTAATTTTTCTTCAAGATTATAAGACGTTCTTGGAAGGAAGACAAAAGATTCTTACCCAAATCAGTTTGACAATACTTCCGATTAACATATAACCCTTAAGCACACGAAGGGACTTTTATGTAAACTGCTATGGCCTAGTAGACAATCATCTTACCATTTTCAAGACCATTATCTGGACTTAGAGACTTGAAATTTAGAGTAGTGTAGAGCGATATAAATCGAAACATTTCAAAAACATTCAAAGCAGGGGGAAACTCAAATAAAGATTCCAACCTTTTCTCCACTGCTATCTATATACCCTCTACCTAGAAAAGTGCACTTTTTCCCACATTCCCCCTCATAGCTGCTGCTTGTGTCCATTGCTTGAGGTTTTTCTTTCTCAATGTTTTTCTAGCTCCAACTTTAGCACATGGTGCCTCTAGTTGTGGTTCCGGTTCAATGTGTAAGAGGTCTGCCTCTTTTTTGGTTATTTGATCAGCTTCTTGGTTTCCTCAAGGTAACCTTGTGCTTTTCTAGGGCTATTAAGCAATTTTAGCCTCCCCAGACTAGTTTGGCGATAAAAGCATATCCATTTTGGGAGCTGCCTGTCCAGAAGTATGTAAATCCGTCCACCTTTCATTTCCCTCTTTACAACTCCTGTGCACAGAGTTGGATTCGATGGACGTCGCTTGGTATATTGCTGGGACAAGTCCAAGTGGTTTTGATAAATAGTAACTTTAATAAGCTTTGATTTATCAGTATACTATATTACTTTCCTGAACCTAGGGTTGCCTTTCTTGGACTCTTTTTATCTCTATGACCCCTCGGAAAGGTTTCTCTAAGTTGAGATTCCTCTCATTATGTCAGGTACCGTTATACCGTTTTCATTTATTTAAATCTCTCCAGTATTATTTGATAGCTTCTCCCTAGATCTGGTTGTATTTCTTTGAAACTCACTTTCAATCAAAGCACTTCTTAATTTAATATTTAATTAAATGTTACTTTATTTACAGGCAACGACATAGTGGCGATAGTTTTCCAAGAGAAGAATACGCCGTTCTCGCCGGATATGATCGCATCCCATTTCCTCCACGCTTTCATCGTAGTACAAGCTATTGAGCCGAACACTCCTAACACGAGGTGAGTCAAACAACGTCTCATCCCGCCGGGAAAGTATTTAAGTGAAAATTTCCGCAGATTAAGTTTTAACGACGGACTTTTTTTAAAGACTTTTTTCTTCTAATTTTCAGACAGTAGCAATCGGCTCGGGAGATTAAACGTGGGAGAGGATCCCGTCCATTGATTAAAAACTTAATTAGGCTTTAAATGTCTCAATTAAGTCCCGATACGATTAATAATAATAACAAACGCGCTGGGCGATTTGAAAAGGGCGGAAGTCCCTGTACAATAAGCCGTCTGTTGCGGGCGAAATTGCTTTATTTTATGGAGTATTTCACCAGCTCCCTCTCGATACCGCCTTGGATTCTTTTCCCTCCCAACTATGTGCTCCTTGGTTTGGTTTCATTAGTGGAAATTAAATTCCTTCCTTGGAAGAGCATTGAATGAATTAAAACCAAGCGGGAAAAGGTTTTAAAATTAAAAAGTTTTCCCATCGTTATTTATTCCTTCCTGCTGTGGCTTTTCCCAGGGTGAAGGCGAGGCTTAGATAATTTACCAAGATTTTTTAAGATAAGTTAATAAATGTTATAGCCTCGTCTCATTCTGTACCATTTCAAACTGAAATTAATGCATGGTAAAAGAAAAAAATCAACCCTTAGGGCAATCAGATTTGTATTAAGTACCGCATATTTTCTGTCAGATGCGGAAAAACGCTTCTTCAAACGAGACGTTTTTGAGCTAATAATAAGTACGACGAGAAATAAAAACGTTGCAATAGACAAAATAATGAAATTCATATATGAATAAGTAAAGTACGTACAGAACAGGAGAAGCAATTCTTGAATGACGAAGTATGCTGTCAATGTTATACATAAAAGATAATAACACGAATGTAGTTCTGATAAATATTTGTCAGACGCGCTTCGGTGGCTGGTTTGTCTGTTATGTTCTCAATTGTCCAAGAAAGAATTGAAAATCCTCGGGGAAGGAGTCAGCCCCTTGCTTTTCCCTCCTTATAACCCCGATCATTTTTCCTACCTTACCAGCAATTGGTAAAATAACGCACAACTGGGAATAGCGAGAAGCCTAAACGAGCCTGACAGACCAAAACAGAGAGGTAAAATTACCAAACTACAGGATCTTCAGTCCTGTAGTCCACAGACTACAAAGATAAATGTTTGAATTTTGTTTATATATATCATTGGGTAAATTTTAAATATAACACGTCTACCACTGCAACTAAGAAATAATAAAGACAGGAATGAATTTTAACAACAAACAATAGAAAGAATATGAAAATTTGACGATTCTAACTTCTTCGTTGGGTCAGTTTTTCAGGCAGTTTTGGGCAAAAAGCTCACATTTTTAAAATAATTTTCTGTCTAAACATAACATGTCTACCATTGTGAAAAAAATATATTAAAGAGAGAATTTTAAGAAATGTCCCGACCCTCTTCATTGGGCCAGTAATTCTGACAATTTAGGTCAAAATAATCACATTTGTACTGCAAAACATGTTTTGAAATGGTTTTAACTATAAACATAACACGCCTACCACAGCTAAAAATTAATAATTAATAAAATAATGGAAAGAAGTGAATTTTAACAATTAAAAACTGAAGAGTACGATAAAATCTTTTAAGATAGTACTTAACCTCTTCGTTGTGTTATTATTTCTGACAATTTAGGTCAAAATAATCACATTTTCTTTGAAAACATTTCTGAAAGGTTTTTTTATCGTTAATTTATAAACTATTAAATCAAATGCTGAACTATTTCATAAAAACTGCAAATGAATAATAGGATTTTTTCTGTCAGTAATAGGACAACCTCAACAACCTTCAGGACATTGCTATTTCACATACAGATGGTATATTGTATATTAAATGTATCTCTCAAACTCAGAAAGAGTTGCCAGAAAGAGAGATTTTGTTGTTTTTGAATTGATACGCACTGGGGTTTCATGGTCCACTGTTCCTACAGTTCTTTGCCCTTCGTCCAACTTGCTTACTTATCGCAGATCGCTCAAGCAAAAATCGTTGATAGCAATTATCATCATCTATACGTTGAAGAATTGGAAATTTGTTTATTTTAACAGATTGCTTGAAACTTCGTTATGATACTGAAATATTCGATGAAAAATACCTGCAGTTGATCGTAAATTGCTTTCTAAGCAATCTTTATTGTAAGAAAGTAAATCATTTAAATATACTCTGCCTAAATTTATTTATCTACCTTAGATTCAGTACAGTTTTTATTTTATATAATATTGTCTTAATTAGACCAGTGCTCTTGTTGGATTTTTCGTAAATGAATCTTTTAAATATGCTTGTTTGTTCCAGGTATAAGATCAGCGTGACCGCAAGGGACGATGTGCCGATGTTCGGCCCTGTCCTTCCCAATCCCCCGATATTCCGGAAAGGGCCCGAAGTCAGGGAATTCCTCCTGGACAAGCTCATCGCCGCAGAATCAGCCTGTTACAAGGCGAACAAGTTCGCTCAGCTGGAGGTGGGTATTTTGATAAATCGGCATTCTTTCGAGTAAAAGTTTCGCCCGATAGCAACGACCATCCATTCCAATAAGTCTTATTAACGGAATTACTGGCCAAGAAACACCGTTTATACCAATTAGGGCTAAATCCCAAGCCTCAAATGGAATTAATGTCGCCGAGTCCCTTCTCCTGCAACTTTTGCCTTTTAATCTAATTTATGTAAGTTGGCCTGGATAAATTTGTTTATTCTACATGCTGGAGTGAAAGGAAGGAACAATCCTCAAGTCTATCCCACGGCTGAATGTATTTTTTTCATTAAATCCCAGCTTATAACTTAAAACTTGGTGATATAATACTTCAGAATGTTCATGCACTTAGAAAACCCGAGTGAATGTTGTTTCCCTAATTAAAAAAAAAAAAATCAAAACGGAAATGAAATTATCTCCCATAATAAAATAGCTATGTGATTTTTTTTTCATAATATATTAATCAAAATTAAATATTTCTTTCAGCTTCGCACTAGGTCAAGCTTGCTCGAGTCGCTGGTAACCGATCTCCGCGAGAAGTCGCGAGAATTTCTTGGATCAACGCCGGATTCTCCGACTGACTTTCCTGACACGCCCAAATCTGAGTCAGGCCCTGGATCCAGGTTCATAGACACCGTTAGGAAAGCGTTGATTGCTAGGGTGAGGAGCCAGGAGAGCAACAACAACAATAATAACAATAACAACAAAAAGCAAACGAATGGGCACTCTGACAATGAACCAAGCCAAGTAAGCACATCAATTTAAAAAAAAATATTGAAAACTAAGTAACTGTTAGTTGATTTATTAATTGACTATTGATCAATAAGCTAAAAATTAATGTATTTTTCTCTCTCAGGGAGGGAGTAACCCAGCTTCAAGGAGCAGCACTTTTGGCAAAAAGAGCTCACCTTCTTCTCCAGTATCCAGTCCAGACATTCATACACAAAGGATTACGAGGTAATAAGCTTATTAAAAAAACAAATAAATACGCCACAGGGAGTTTTAAGAGTGATCTCAATGATGTTTAAAAATAACATTCAAGAGGGAGGCAAAGAGAGTACAGCTTTTTGTAGCTTGATATATGGTCACTTCAAACCAAATGGCTCTTGATAGAAAGAAAAGAAAATTGCAGTTCAAATATATTTTATAACTTTTGAGATAATATCCAAGAACACCTTAAATTTAACAAATCCTAACCATCCCTAAACACAACAACCTCAACATCACGTATCAAGAATACTGTCGAAGGGTGGCCCTCAGAGGATCTGACTCATAAAAGAAGTTTCATCCTCAACCGATTAAGAATAGGGGGCTTCCTTTTGGGCCAAAGCCTATGAGTGCCTCACCTAATTGAACGGGGCAATTGCTTGGCTCCGTACAGAGAGTGCCGCACAGGAATGCCAGCTGATATGAGAATTGTGCTTGAGCATGGCAGCGATCTTTGGGTCCTCTGTTCTGATCCTTGAAGAAATGGGGTTGTTCTATTGTATATAGTAAATAATAGTTGTGTATACCTAGTTTGTGATGAGAGTGAATGTATTTATTAGCACGAGGTGTGATGTGAGAGGGTCGATGGCGGAATCACCCCATCAACCCTCAATTCGTATATATGTAAAGCTTGCATGAGAGTGATTGTATTTATTAGCATAAATGCATTATGTCGGTAAATGACAATGCTTCAAGACCTCACCTTAATCGGTCATAATTGTGTACGCTCTTATGAAATTGCTCAACCTTCTGATCTTTACCCCTAAATATAGAAGTATTGTGTTCAGTAATTTCTTACTCATTCATGTCTCCATTGTATGGAACCCCTTCCTTACTTGGTACCAAAGTTTTTTAATTGCCCCTTTAATTTAATATTGATAGTAGAACATTTTCACATTATAAATATATGTACTTTTGTGTATATACATCTTTGTATAGCCTTATTAGGCTGGAATCTGTGTAATGTGTTTTATTCATTTTTTCTTTCATATTGACGGCCAATGTTGGCTGATTTCTCTTAACATTTGTCCTTTGAGTACAGTGCTATAGTGACAGTGTGTTGTGTTGACCAAGAGCTAATAACAAAGAAATTAGTTATTTAAAAAAAAACTGATGATTAAGATTGTTAACAATTATATTGTTTAGTTATTTTTTGGTTTGTTTTTTATTTCAGTCGTGTATCAGAAAGTGATTGTTCGTCATTGAACAGTGTCGAGATGGAAAACGGAGGCGATAGTGACACAGGCCTTGAAAGCATGTCGTCATCAGAAAACAAAACATGTTCGCTTTGTCTTGAACCAGGAGATCTCACAGCTGAAGTAACAAGGCTGAAATGTGATAAACTTCACCTTTTACGGCAGAATGTGGTAAGTTTGTCTTCCATTTAGACAATAATTAAGTTCAATAAAAAGCACAGATTTAAACATTTTGTGTTGTTACAGACATGCCAGAGGGAGATAAAGAGGCTGCGAGAAAAGGAACTAGGACTTCAGTCGGAACTTGCTGCTGCGAGCAGAGAGATCCTTAGATTGCGGGAGCTCCTTAAAGACTACACTACTAAGGACAACACGTCGACAATTTGAAATGGGTCTCATCCAAAACCATTCTTTAACAACCTTCTTCTTGTAAATAGCTTAAATCCTCCTTCACCTCTGCAAGATATAAAATTATAGCAAAAAACAATAAAAGCCAAGAAAGTAGTAATTTTATTGAATAGAATGGATATGATAAAAAGACACGGTTAATGATTGAAGCATGAGGGAATTGATTGTACTGGGAAATTTTGTAAAATTTGCAACCTTTTGTTGTAAATGAGTGTCGTTACCATCTTGTAAATAGCAGTTTGGCTTTTCCCAGGTTTACAGGTTATTTGTAAAGTGTACATTTTTAAAAAATAATATTAAAATTTAAAAAAAATCACATATATCTTCACAGAAATCTGTCTAAAAAATATTTAAGCAAATAGAAGCTGTCTGTGATTCTAAAAAAATATAAAAACTAACATTAACAAGAAAGATGAATGAGCAATAATCGAAGAGTTGCGAAAGTTATTTTTCCTTTCTTTCTCTCTTCTATCTACCATGAGTATATTATATGTATTGTTAGATAGTATATTTAGAAAAAAAATATGTTAACAGTTAGTAATTAATATAGTTTATCTTCACTATTGATGTTATGCACAAAATTTACTGTAGTTATTTTCACAACACCCTTCCCCTGAAAAATCACAAACTCGTCTATACCAAAGTTATATATAATATTTGTTTAAAAGAGTTTTAATAACATTATTATTTGTTTTTGCTTGATGTAATGTATAAAGTATCAACTTAAAACTATTTTTTTATTAATTTCTCTTTATTTGTATTTTGTAAATATTTAATTTAACATTATTAGCTTATAAGTCAAAAAGAGAAAATTAGGTTTAATTTAGTGTTCATTTGCAAAGAATAATAGTAATAATTAAATAATTACTGTCAAGGCAACGTTGTATTCAATCAAAACCTTAAATCCTCTACGCTTGAATATATCAAAAAGCTTTTAAAAATAAGCCAACTTTAAACACTGAAACATTTCAATTCTATTGAGATCTACGAGGTGTAGCGAATTGGTCAATCATCTTAAATCATCCAGGTCTAACTATTCTCATTAGTTTTTATCCAAGAACAGGACCTGCAGCAATTTTCAATAATTCAATTTTATTCCCTTATGTGTTTTGAAGCAATGTTCATTTAGTCATTATTGTTTTACACGCTACAAAAACAATTAGTTGAGGCGTTTTTATTTGTCAGTTTTGTTTAAAATTTCATCCTTTTACTAGATGCCTTCCTAATTTAAAATGGAGGAAAATTAGCAACCAGAAATTGACATTTTTGAAGCCATCTTTAATCAATTCTGAAGGGCCGATTCTATTATACGACTCAGCTCCGTGTCTTACATGTGACAACATGAAAAATGTTTGATCTTGGTTGTTCAGCCTCACTCCTCCTATTCTACTGACCTCTTGCCTACCATTTTTTTCAGACACCTGGACAATGTTTTACAAGAATTTATTGATCAAAATTCATTTGAGACTCAAAATTCTATTCAGAGGGTAGAGAGAACTTGCTATCTCGGGAGAAATGTGTTGAGAGTGATGAAGGGTATTTTAATTTAAAAATGTTTAAAATCATTTATTTAATTTTTTTTATTTTATAACCATAAAGCTGCATTATTTCCTGGACAACCCAATACATAAACTGATCTAAACATTTATACTTTGAGTGCAGAAATTTACTGATTTTTAAAAATGCCTTGGTATATGAGGGTGTGGATAAGCATTAGCTGTGTGCATTAACCAATTATGGGACTTTCTTTTATGTAATTCATTTTAAAGGCAGAAATAAAGAATATTGTATGTGCCCAGGATGAGAGCTGAACATCAATGCCTAATTTGAAAAGTAAATAAGGAGACTCAATCTGACCATTCACAAGTTTATAAGGAAATTTAAGGTTGAGATAAACACTTCTCTTATCCAAAGTTAGGATATCAAAGGAATCAAAAATATTAAAGTAGTTTCTGTACAGGCCAGAAAATTTTCAGTTTGTAAGCTAATCTTAGAATTTATTCTAAATCAATGGTTGAATTTGTTTATCGAATAACACAGGAATAGCCAAGATCTAACATGGGAACAATAAAAAAATTTGAGGGTTTTTGTGTCGGCGAATTTACTGGTTAGCTGGATGATGCCCCCGAGAGCTCGACAGGATGGATTTGTGACACGGGGTGAGAATAGAAATTCAATTTACTATTGAAAATAATAGTGTATAACTAATACAAATAAATTTTTCTGTGGCTCATGGGCCCAGGAGCAAAATCACAACTTCAGATGGTACAAACAACCAAAACAATGTTAGAAATGATATCATGCATGCCATGGTTTTTACATAAAACAGGACTCCATTCTGACCTTAAAATGCCAACTATTACCATCCTAATCAAATAAGCCTATAAGAAGCATCACATTGTATTGACAAACCATGCTACACCTACATGAGGCAAGGCTGCAAATGGGCTTCCACCGCTGCTAGAAGGCTTAAAAAAACCTTTACTGGATAGCTAATCTCAAATAGAGTTTGAGCATTCAGTTTCTAATTCCTATAAATAAATATTTATTTAAAAATGTATGTTTGTGTAAAATTCTAGTTAGGGGCAGACATTGAGTTTGTACCCTAACATGAACACCATATTACTAGAGCCATCATTAGCTTCTAATGACATATCGTTATTGTAAGCTATATTTTGTTTCATTTTCGTAAATAAAAGTTATCTTGTTCATTAAAAAATTAAATATTATAAATTTAATTAGGTGAGATTAATAACAATATAAACCATAAAATAATGCTTACCCTAATAATGTTCAGTTTTTCACTTGAGAAGGCACCTGAGGATATGCAATACTACAAGAATTTTGAGATAATGGCCTAAGATTAACCTATATTCAGGACCATTGGCCAGCCTTTGCTGTGAGTGGCAGCCTAAACTTCAGAGAGAGAGTAGCTTACTGTGATTACCTATGGTGTGCTCCTCAAAATTTCCCAAAGGAATACCAAACCAAAACTCCACTATGTTCAAAATAAAAATTATTTTTAACTGAGAACGAATTAAGTTAAAGCGGGGCTTCCCATACTCTGGTCCGCTGACCCTAACTAAGGCATCTGTGGCGAACTTTGAGAAAAATTAATAATGAAAATAAACATAGAATGAATAAATAAAATTACAAAAACTAGTAACAATGAGTAGTGAAAACAAAAGTTTTTTATTTTGCAGCAGCAGTAATTGTGTTTTCCACAGACAAGCATTAGCTATTAAGCAAATGCCAGCCTCATTCAAAAAAGTTAAGGATGAGTCTTAATTATATCGTGGCATTGAAGACTTTTCTCAATACTGTGTCGATATGGGAAGCCTTCAACATCCCCTGCTACACCGCACAGAAGCGAAATGTCTGTCTTTGGGAAAGTATTGTCAAAATTACAGGAATTACATTCTGAATGAAGTCTCATCTTTGTTGATAGACCACAATGTCAAATTGACCAACGATTTCAATGATGAGAAATGGCAATGTATACTGTCGTATTTATCAGATATTTCCATTAAAATGAATGAGATGAGTCTATCTTTGCATGGGAAGAGTACCACAACTTTCGATGCTAATGGCAAAGTTCGCACCTTCAAAGAAAAATCCAGTCTTGGGTTGAGTCTTTTGAGAAGGAAGATGTGGAATGTTTTCCTGTGTTGAATCATTTTTATAAGCAAACAAACTGGAGCTTGTGAACAATTTTGATGGAAGAAATATGTGGACACCTTCGAAGTTTGGACATGTCCTTTGAGCGCTACTTCCCAACAGCTTGAGATACAATGCTGCAAGACACCATGAATGGGTGGTCGAACTGTTTTCAATTTCGACAAAGCCAACCAGTCTAACTTCGTGTGAATATGAATGTTTAAAAGCCATTACTTCAAAATTCACCTTGAAATCTACTTCCAAGTTCGAAACTTACCCACGTTTTTGACTCTGTCTGGGAGACAAAAAATTTCAATGCGCACTGTAAAAACAAAAAATTTTCTTCTTCAATTTGCCACCTATGCCAATGCAGAATTTATATCCGTACAGCAACCAAAACAAAATACCAAAGCCGTCTAGATGCTGGACCCGACATTGTCTCCAGCTATCAAAAATTAAACCCAACAGGCCCAAATTTTGCAGGCATAACCTCACTCTTCCAATTATTTTGTTGATCATTAATGTTAATAATTTTGAAATTGACTCGAGTTTTACATACCTATTGATTTCGTTCTGTCCGATATGGTTCCTGTGTTCCGGATTTTGTACATAAAGCTGAATATGTCAATCTAATCTTTTAATAGTGGTCATCTCCATCGCCTAATCTGGCTAATTTATAAAACTTTAATTTACTACTTACTACTTTGCTATAAGTATCTAATTGTAATTACTTGAATGCGAAATGCCCTGTAATTTGTATCTGTGAAAGGGTCTGCTAGTTTGGGAAGCCCTGAAGATGTGAGTAGGTCAAGTTATACAAAAACAAAACTATGAATAGAACCATCATTTACAAAAAGTTGTGGTGATTTATAAAGGATCGGGAAGCAAGTGTGTGGGTTGAGAAAAACTTGAGAGCTTATTATTACCATTTTACAAGGCTATTAGTAATTATATGTACAGGGTACTTATGTGGGACGACGGAAAAAATTCAAAGACTTCCTACCTTTCTGAGGGTGCCAGGTCGTCTCTCCGGGTCCTTAAGTCGAGTCGCCAAGAAAAACAAACAGCGTTTTCCATTATTTAGCACCAAAAAAGTCACAGTCAAAACAGTCAAGAGACGGAGAGCATCCGTCATTCTTCCCGGGCCTACATCCATTTCTCCCACTCCCGAGGGCTTGGGTTTCCATTGGCCGATCCAGCCGGGGAAGGGACACGCACAATGGATCGGCCGATTGTGGTGCTCTCTGGGTCACCACAGATTCTCCATCTAACGTGTGGTGAAATTCGGCCGGGTTTCTGGAAATCCTCCAGCAGTCCGCCCCCTAAAAAGGTGTACGAGCTGAATTTCCACAGGCCAGTGGGAGACCAGGGTCAATCCCGAAGCTGGATGTTCCGCATGCCACATGTCGCCAGGATCCGTTGACTGTCCTAGCCGAGACCTGAACACCGCCCCGGATATCTGCGAAACAGGAAAATCTCGGAAACCCGGGTCAGATCGGTATGTATGTTTATACGTAAAATTTCTAGCAACTCTATACACTACTAATATGCTATAGGGCTGGTGCAAAAATAATGCAGGTTTTGAAAAGGCAGGCAAAACTATTTTTAATTTTTATAAAATAAAGAAATATTTTTCATCACAAGCTAAACACCTTTTCCAACGTGTAATAAGCGCTCTTGACCCCCCCCCCCCTTGACATAAAACTCTTAATTTCGATTCTTGGAAGAAGTTTTCGATTTCACCACGTTCTCCAAAAATGTTACCCCTCAAGAAGTGATTAAAATACCTAAAAACGTGTAAGTCCGTCCGTAGGCGAAAGGTCCGATGAATTTGGAGGGTGCGGTAAGGTTTCATGTCTTAAGTCCTTAAATTTCCGCAGGGTTGAAATTGCGACATATGGCCCGGCGTTATCGTGATGAAGAATCTGCATCTTACGGTTTACCAATGCTGGACAAGACGTTGCAATTTCCCGCGCATTTTCTCAATTTCTTGGCAATATTTCTTTGCTGTGATAGTTTCACCATAATTCCGGAAATTATAGTGAACAACCTGAGCAGTACACCACCAAACAGTCACCATAACCTTTTTGGGCGGCAAATTTGGTGTCGAGAAGTATTTTGGCGCCCTTTAAAAGCTATTGTTTCCGTTCTGTACTTAAAGCATATCGGTAAGTCCTAGTTCTTGAAGGAACATGATTAGTAGGTCCGGTTTCAGTGGTTGAATCTCTTCTAAGGTTACGTTGTATGCCCCAAAATACTTCCTCCTGCGGGCAAGTGTAGCACCACAGTTTGCTAGTAGGTGTGTTAGTGTCTCCTCGGCAGAATCATCATGTGCCGTGTTGGGTTATGTCACGTCTTCAGATGACCATTTAGTTTGCAGTGTCCTGTTCAGAATCGTGTTACGATTCGTTGCTTTCTCTAATACATTCTGTTACCTCTTGCCTTTCAAAGTTTGTTAGGAAGTTCTTGGATTTTTAGTGTTCAATGGGTGAGTTCCATTGTGTTCCCTCATTTTCTTTTATCCTTCTGGTCATTGATAGTATGCATTCCTATGCCACATAAGAGCTCTAGTCCTATCAGCTGTATAGCAGCCCTTCTTCTTGCAAGGGCTTCCGCTTTCTCGTTGTCTTCTATTCCCTCATGTTCTGGGGCCCAATTTTTTTACTTTTGGTTTTGCACTTCAGCACCATCTTTGAACGCTTTGATCTATCTGACATGATAGCTACATTCTTTTTGTTTTTGTACCCTTTATTCAGATTAAATTGGGTGAATACTCTCGAAAGGTCCAGTGTAGAAGTCCCTAAGGACTAAGCTAACTTCTCCCGTTTGCTACTTCCGAGGGGATCGGTCGACATCGTATACCCGACCGTGTGCCGCATAGCATTGGACAACCAGTCACTACGGACTGAAATTCATCAGTCAGGTTTCCGGCTTACTACCTAGAGAGATAACTGGGAATGTGGAGGATAACGGCATCACCGAACAACATGGTCAACTCTAAGTGCCCGCCAGAAGTCTCCCCACTAAGCCACTAAGATTCCATTCCCACGTAGCGCGCTACCTGGCTTGTAACTTGGAACATTGCACTACCCCTTAGTTCAGTTGTTTATGCACCCCCCCCTTCTTTGCAGACAGAATCTGGTACCCTAACCCATCTGAGCTACCGATACCGCTCTGAGTACCCGCTGTCCGCCTGCTGACATATAGCCAACAAGCAAATACAGCTTGTGCTTTAGAGAGTTCACCAGCTACACCTTTCTGCTTTGCCTGGAAACCCCCTTGCATTCAGGGTCTTAAAGAAAAAAGCGATGGGACCTGGATTGAGAAAGGGAATGCCCGAGAACGCGAGGCTCACCTTTTCAGGTTGCGCCCCACGCCCCGGGCATAATATACCACCCTTTGGCGTCGTTCCTAATTAACAAAAGCCGTCTATATATCTTTCTCATAGACCGGTAATAATAAAGTAAAATTAAATTGATAAAACGTCTTCCACGTCTTAACCGCTAAAAAATGGCATCCAGAGTATATTCCTTAAAATCATGTGCGCCCATTCCACTATAGCACTATATTTTGTAATGACTACTATTTTTTTATATACGGTCCCTTCACCAAAACTCAATACCAGCCTGAAGAAGCCACTGTTAGCTCAGATTAGTTCAATGTTATATTCCTTAAAATTATTAACCCTCATTCCACTTTATCAATTTATTTATTTATTTTTTATATACGGTCCCTTCACCCTCAACGAAATACCAGCCTGAAGAAGCTACTGTTAGCTCAGATTAGGACAATGTTTCATATGAGGAAAATACAAGACTGCAACTTAATTTAAACAATATTTCATTTATTGAGAATGAATTTATTTCTTGTATAAATATACTTAGAATTTTATTTATAATCTAAATATTTTTACAATAATCATACAATTAGTCATGAAAAAATACTTTTTACAATTGTCAACTTATATCAAAAAACAATTTTTTTATTCATAACCTTTAACAATAATAAAATTGAAAAAATTGATAAGACAACAACATAAAATGGGCAAGACAAAAAAAGAAAAAAAAAAAAGAAAAAAAGAAGGGAGGTTTTACACGTATTATTTACAGGGAGGGGGAGAGGCTGAGGCTTAACAATCGGTGAAAATGGGAAATGTTTTAAACACTACTATTGATTCACAATTAAAAACAGTATAAAAAAATTATTTACAATATTCCTCGGGCGTTTTCAAACTTAATTTGAAAGGGGAAATTAATGTGATTAACGGGACGGTGTAAACACTTTTGTTTTTAAAAATCGGCATCCCATCCGGTGATGTCGTCTGGCGGTGGGCCATCAGCATCCGGAGGATAATCGTCAAAATTTGATGTGTCAGTGACACTCCTCACTTTAGGCGCGAGTGGAGGAGTCAAAGTTCTAGATCGCAATCCTTCCCAGTTAAAACCATCAAACCATCTAGAAAAAGTAATAATTATATAAGTTGGATCATAAGATATATGTGTAATGACTACTTGACTATCAAATAAATTACATTTTTCAATTAATATTTATGAAAGGTATTGGCTAAGATAAAAAACGTCAGTGTCACGAGCGGGATTCGAACCCACGACCTTCGGCTAAATACGCAGCTACTCTACCACTTGAGCTATCGTGACTTCGATCCGAGCCACTAAATTCCCTCTTCAACCCCACCTTTTGAATTTTCCCTTCTTTTTGCCATTTTTCAAATGTCGTGCAATCTATTTGATTCTCGGCGACAAATGAAATGGCCACGGAGAGCTTTAGTGAAGTATACTTCATTTTGCTCACTTCCATCCTCTCTCCGAAGTCACGATAGCTCAAATGGTAGAGTAGCAGCGTATTTAGCCGAAGGTCATGGGTTCGAATCCCGCTCGTGATACTGACTTTTTTATTTAAACCAATACCTTTCATAAATATTAATTAATTGAAAAATGTTAATTGGTCAAACGGACCATGAACTGTAATGGATAAATTACATTGTTAATATTATTTACATTTTCTTTAAAAAAAACTCACTTGTGTTTTTGAATTTCGCTTATGCCACCTTTCTGATATCCTAGTCGCTCTGCTGGGTTGTCCCTGAGAAAAATGAACCGTTCAATAAATATTTTAAACAATATAACTTCAATTTATTAGTAATAACAATTTTCTTACCTGCAAAGCTTTTTGATTAAAACATTCGCATTTCTCGTTATATTTCTAGGAAATTCTATGGCATCAATGCCCTTAAGAATTATGTTATAAGTTTTCATCGGATCAGCTCCAGTGAATGGAGGTGTACCTAAATTAACATAAAGAAAACCCAAAGTTAATAAATATTAATATATGTCAGTTATTGAATTTAGGATAATAGAAAGTTTAGAATGGCATAATTTCTAAACAAAAGAAATTTTTGTCATACAGCAGGGCTTGGACTTCCAACTACCATTAGGTGTCACCAACAAGTGATCAGAGCCATTTTCATATTATGGATTTTCAATTAAAAAGCTAAGCTGGGATTTGAACCCAGAACCGCCTGGGCCCCTACTATAAATTAAAAAAATATCCTTACATGATCATTAAAGATCATTAAAATGAAAAATCCTACTGTAATATAACAATGACATTGTAATGAGAATTAACAAGGTTTTACAAACTAATTTCCAGGTAGGTCATTGATGTTCCTCGGGGTGACTGGAGAAGAAACCCCTCTATTCATGCTAATAAATTACATTTGTAGACTTCGTTCGTACTGGCCCAGAGTGCTCCTCACATTTATTCCTCATGAGCTTTTACTCTGGCACTACTAAATTACATTTACAGTACATTGATAAAATAAGAACTGTTTCTCGTTCACTCTTTTCATTGTAGCAAATAAATGGATACAATACAGATCTCACTCGTTCCAGCCCGACTTCTCGATATTCCTCGAGGAACAAGTGGTCTGGACCCTCCATTCTGGCTAATAAATACATTTATTCTAATACGAGCAGACAATCATAGATAATACTATATATTTATGACCCCTCAGTATTGATTACATTCTTTGCAAATCAATTCTACAGGGTATCCTGTTTAGATGGCCCGGCTGAATTTTTCTTGAACCAATGACGCTATTTAAAAAAAAGTTTAATATTTTTAGTATAGTTTTAAATGTTTACCTTTTTTTGGAAAAAAATTATGCAGGCTACCTCAGGCCCATTACAAATTCAAAATTTCAGATACAACCCTATAAATCCTGACACATCATTTTACTGGATTTTTTAGACTGAAAACATGATACAATCGGATTTTAAAATGGCCAAAAAATGACTAAGTTGAGGCAAAAAGTTTGGGAAAAAAAGTTGTTTGGTTTGCTATTTATTAATCACATTTCATGTTCGAACTGTCTGTCTGCCTTGTGTAAAGTTTCAGTTTTGCTCTTTTTAACCACTCTTCACCGGTGCTCAGAGCGATAGAGTCTGGAGAGATGGATTGACAAGAATTTTCAACCCTTTGCCGCAGTTCTTCAACTGAGGATGCTGGGTTACGATTGGCGTAGATACTGTTTTTTTAAATGGCCACAACAGAAAATAGTAAAGTGGAGTTAAATCTAGTGACTGAGGAGGCCTACAGATCGGGCCTTGATATCCTATCCTCCCATCCTGGAAGGGAGGTTTCAAATAACGTCTCACCTGCAAAGAATTATGTGCTGGAGAATTTATGTATTTATTTTATAATTTTGCTCTAAAAAAAGGTAAAAATTTGAACTAGACTGAAAAATAGTAAACACACTTTTTTCTTTTTTTTAAACGTCATTGGCTCAAGAGAAATTAAGCCGGGCTATCTAAAAAGGACATAAAATTGCATGTAATTCGTTATATGAATCAATATATCCATATATGTATTTAGTTTTCATAATTGACCGAATGAGTTATTTTAATTAATTATACTTTTAATCTAAGGTCTTGGTTAAGATGAAAAAGCAAGTGTCACAAGCGGGATTCGAACCCTCGACCTTCGACTCAATTCACCGATGCTCTAACCACTTGAGCTATTGTGACTTCTTCCATCCATTGGGTTCGAATCCAGCTCGTGACACTTGCCTTTTCATCAAAACCTAGACCTTAGATTAAAAGGGCAATTAATTAAAATAATTAATATGGTTAATTATGACTACTAAATACACATATGGATTCATATAACAATTACAGAATTACTTCGCTAACAGCTTCAACAATACGTAAGTCGGTTTTTTGTTAGTAAAGCCGGCAAACCTATCGAATGATCCGATGTGCTAAGATTGCTCCAGTGAATTGATTGTTAAAGATTAATTGAATGTCAGGTTTCAGCTTAGCTTTTCTACGTTTCTTGTGTAAGGAGAAGTTGTTCACACTTAACGGTGGCAAACCCAATTCGTTTGACAGTTGAGCTTTTTGTAGGATCGGCCTCGATCACGTCTCTTAGAGGTCCTTTTTTCACTAGTTGTTCACCAATGAATGTTTTGTAATTTCTCTTCGGTGTCACCTGGACAAAACTGTAAACCGTTTTTCAGTATCTGATTTATTTTCAAAGCACGCTCCTTACCGCTCCTTAGAAGATGAAATAACTGTGGGAAAGCGACCGCATTTCTACTTTCAAAGTGGTAAGATAATGATCTTTTTTTTTGTAATGGATTTATCGTTTGTTCCGTACAACAATGAACTGAAGATAAATGAATGATCCATTAACAAACCTTTAAAGGGCAATGATTTTCTTCATATGAAGAGCGGAATTTTTGGGGGATAATCGAATTTTTCTGACAGGAAAAGTTGTTAAAATAGAAATTCCATGATTTTCTGTAATGTCAGTCAAAGCATCAGGTTTAGTTGGTGACGCGGCCAAATTTGTTCCTGTACTGGAACAACCTCACTATATTTACATGACAAGCCTTCAGATTATCCTCGGCTTCCTTCCCGTGTAAAATTAATTAAACAAAACCCTTAATTGTAGTAATTTTGGAAAAATACTCCAAAAGCTTTGTGAGGATGGTATATAGGTTAAAACAGTTGAGGGCATATACGACCGGCGTTTCTGATCGACTTTTCTATTTCCTCCTTTATTCTTCGATGTAAGAGTCTCGGGTCACGAAATAGTCGTAAAAGAGAACAAGTTTGGACCGAGCGACCATGAGTTGGTACAATAAAGCTAAAATTAAATCTCGCCTCACGACGTCATTGTGAGAAAACTTTGTAAAAACGTCCAGACGCAGCATAAATACGCGGATCCGTTGAAACATGGGATCGCATAAAACCGACGGACCTTGAAAAAGGTAAGCTACAGACAAGTTTCCCCACAAGTTCGCCTTGGTTTTGCAACACTTAAGCAAACATCAGGTCAATTTCATCAGATTGATTGTAATAATTTATATTTTTAGATTTCCTTTTGGGGCCTGCGGGGTTATGAGCTTATATTTTCGTTGTTTCCCGTCATTTTGGTCTATCTACAAGCCTATTTTGGCCTATCATACTTTTCTTTTCTAACAGACTTGTCGTTTAGCTGTCGGGTTTTCTACTGGGAGGTCTTCATGTTAAGGCATTGATCGGAGATATTAAAATTTGGCCAAACCGACACACAAAAATACCGCCGACAAACGCACCCCACGAACTTATAAATTTGTATAATTTGTCTGGTTTTTTGATTGGAACATGCGGTGGATGTTGGACTTTGGATTTAATCGAACACCACGGTTCTACTCCGGATGTCCAGAGCAGTGGCAGTAATGCCTTGTACAGAGTTAGTTAAGTTTTGACTGTCTTGATTGTTCTCTAAGTCTTTTATTATATTGTTTCTTAAGTCTTGCGGGATTCTGCGTCTTTCTGCTATCTAGGTTATTTATTATCAGACTGGACTGGTAGTTGGTAAATCTTTACCACAACACATACAATGGGGAGAAACACTGTGCACATTTTCCTCATTCATCAGTCTTCTCCTCCACTTCTGCACCAGTTTGATAAACTCAAGGTGTCCTTGGATGTTGGAAGTTGCTCGGATAGGATTCTATTTAGAAGAAAGGATTTCAATATCATCTGCATCGTTAGGTGATATTACGGTGTATAGGAAAAAGCATGAGACCAAGTGAGCTGCCGATTGTACAAAAATAATAACTGTGTGAGGCTCAATAATCAAGATCGTTCAGAAACGACGGCAGGTAGTTTTATTTCCCGAAAAATTTAAGATTTATAAGAATTCTATCGCCCGTATTTTGTTTTAGTCAATCCTGTCTAATACTAATTTAGCATTTAGGTTAGAAACAATTTAAAATCTGTGCTGTAAAATACATGTCGTTAACAATATAATAATCTATTAGTTTTATAATCATATATTAACAAAAAGAGGGTGGTTAATGTCTAACGGATAACAGAACAAAACTTTAATTTTTATGATTATTAGTTATCTACTACACCTACAGAAACTTTAAGTATTACATTAAATTTATCGATCTAGGTTACAATAACATGTACAGCACAGTCTGTTAACGAAGTAATATTGTATTTATAATTTATTCGGGATAAATTATATCCCAATCATAGTTGGGGGGGCATAATGGTTAGGGTGTTCTAGGTTCGAACCCAGGCGTAGCACAAGGAATTTTTATTAAAAAAAATTAAAATAGAATGTAAAAAGTTTCGTAGTTTTATGTCCCCTCATCCGCGTGGCTCAAAGGGTAGTTGGATGTTAAGCCTTCCTGTATCACATCAATTATTTTTTAAATTGTTGGTAAAAAAAGTTTACTCACCAGTAAGAAGTTCGAACATGAGTACTCCCAAAGACCAGTAATCTGCGCTAATATCGTGACCACGGTTCAAAATGACTTCAGGTGCGACGTATTCGGGCGTACCACAAAACGTCCACGTTTTTCGTCCGTGCTAAAAATAAAACAAGCAATAATAATATAATAACCCATTCTTGTGTGGCAAAAGTTATAATACAATAATTGATTGCTTAATAATATAAAAATAGTAGAACCTAGGGCCACACTGTGGCTGTCCCACGGCATATTACTAAGCCAACTCGTATTAATAATAATTAAAAGGAGCAATTAAAGCTTCGGGAGGAATACAAGCAAACAGGATTCTAGGGATGTTGACGCCACGAATATTGCAATATTCACATTTGATAAGAAATTTTAAATTAAAATACTGGATAGAGCAGAGAATGAGAAAGGTTTCCCCGTGCATTTCCTATGTAGTGCACATAAGTCATAATGTAACCGCACCACTCAACCAAATACGGAACCTTGCGTTCTGCTTGGACAGCTTACATGGAACCAACTCACTAAACTTAAAAAGACTCTCAACCAAATATACGGACAACTCAGACCTAAATAAAATAAGTGCGCACAACGAACTAACGTTAATAAAACCGATTTGGACATAACGAAGTCGAGCTTAGAGCTCACCTAGACCTTCCAACATTCAAAAAATCCAATCATTTTATTTAAAAGTCCTCCGTCGTATTCTCAATGCTACCTTCAATGTCATCAACCAAACCATCCGCACAGAAATAGACATTCGTTTCATTTCCACTCCAAACTCTTCTTTAACGCACCAAAATAGTCCTCTACGCCACCTAAGAAGCCAGTGGCATCTTGACCTAACACAACCCACAACGAACCATCCTAAATTCAAGGAGTTCCTGCAACTGCCAGCTCCTGGCAGATGTTTATTTCTATTGTTTTGTATTTGTGCAGAAAGCAATTTATAAATAGAATTTAAAAAATAGCTTATTATTGAACTTGAATTTTTACAATGGTCAATAATTTTAGCCAAACTTACAAGGGGACGACCAGGTTGGTGCGACACGGATTTGGACCAAACTTTTTTTTACACTCCAAAATATTGGACACGTATATCCGCCACTTCTTGTGAATAGGCTATGGTTTCGACAATAATTTTTTTGAAAGTTGAAATTTTCCTTTTTTAATATTTTTTATTTCGCTTTTCCACTTCATCAAATCTACTATCTGAATATAACATTTTGCAGAATTTTTTATCAATAACCAAACAATTTCTAACCACACAACACTACCATATTCAAGGGTTTTAAGAAGTCGTTACCGGAATATTTGTTTTAAGTAGATATAATTCTAAAAGGGTTAAAAGGATTTGAACGTTAAATATACCATTTGAAAGAAGAGAAGCGTAGCGTTTTAACAACGTATGTACCATAAAAATATATCAAAAATTTCTTAAGGAAATTCACAAAGTAGGAAAATTATTTGTCAGAAATTAACCTCGTTTTTGTAAATGGAAATAATAGTCCAATTTTAATGTTTGATACAGTTATAAAATATACTTGAAAATATTTTTAAAACGAATTATCAACCATGAAAATCGGTCTCTAGGTATTGAGAAAAATGATGTTAGATCTTGAACTAGGAATGTCAGTGAATGCAGTTCGTTGAAATTATCAGTCAAAAAATTAATTCACACTGATTTTCGCAAGTCGGTATTTAAGGATATTATAATACTAGAATCACGACAATGAGGTCAAATCAAAGATTTGACCATTTTCTGACCTACTTTGTTTAAAGAATATTTTTTAAAATCTTCAAAAAAGGAGTGTTTTGTTGATTTATCTTTTGAAATCATACCAAATTAGAATATTCTGCGTCATAAAACAGTTTTGTTTTTATGTTAACCAACAAGGACATAAATAATATTTTTTTAATCTATAAATAACCATTGCTGCTCATTTAATTAAATATATTTTATACTTATATTAATGACTGCTTATATTTATCATTTTTGTGAATTATTCAGAAATCGTGAGATGCGGTCTGGTGTGATCTAGGTTTCAGAAAAACATTTTCCTTTATCGTGCCAACGTTCGAAATTCAGAGATCATCTTCAGGGCCTGGGATTTACAAACATTGTTTAAATTTAACAAATACATGTAGGATGTAGAAAAAAGTGAATTTACACAATGCAAAAAATATATATTTTTTTGCATTGTATAAATTCACTTTTTCCCACATCCTACATGCATTTGTTAAATTTAAACTATGTTTGTAAATCCCAGGCCCAGAAGATGATCTCAATAAAGACTGAAACGTTGGCACGATAAATGAAAATGTTTTGCTGAAACCTGCATCTCACGATTTCTGAATAATTATCGACTAACGGTCACTAATCACCACACATTTTTGTTAATATTTTAATTTATACAGTACAAATAAATTCATTCAACAGAATTATATTTGGACCTTTCTGTTTCTGAATTATAGCTGTTTAAATCAGATATTCCTATAACGATTTCTTGAACTCGAAAAAAATTAGGAATAAAAAATAGATAAATTTAAATTCAAACAAAAATTTATATTTAGGGGTCTCTAGAGGTGCTAAAACATAATTTCATATTAATTTCACGAAAACAAAATTTTATGACCCAATTTACTTGAAAAAGATTTCGTTTTTATAGCTAGTTTTATAGCTTTTACTATATTTTTATTGTAATCTACATAAAAAAGCTGTAAAATGATATATTCCCATAGTTTATTTGAGTAATTATTGTAGAACGGCAAAACAAAAATATTAAAAAAAGGAAAATTTCAACTTTCAAATATTTTTTGGCGAAACTAGGACGTATTCACACAAGAAATGGCGGATAAGTGTCCAATATTTTGAAGTGTAAAATCACAAAAAAATCATCCATGTCACATCAACTTGGTTGTTAAAATAAATGTTAAAATAACATTGTCAATTTTAAATCTAAACTGAATTGTTATTATAAAAATATGAGTACGCATAAAAATGGAGATTGAAAAAAAAGCGTATGTGATAATAATCATAACATTATTACTAGTACAAAATGTCCAAGTTGAACTCTAAATCCTCGGGTTTTGTGAAATAGTATACACTTGTAACTTAACTTTTACTACACTTCCTGTTAAATTAAAGATAGCCGATTTGTTTGCTAACAAGACTGTGATAACTGTTATTGATTTCATTAACAAATTTTGTCGGAATCCATTTTGTACGATGTAAACAGCGAAAATTGCTTTACGTAATTAAACCAACAAGCTTCTTTAATAGGATTTCCGCTTTATCGCATAGGCGATAAAGACGAGATCTTGTGTTAATAAATTTCACTACTCAAATTTGGGCAGATTTTGCGATGACCAGTCAGGGGATAAATATACCACATCATCATCAATAAATCCATCCTTTCAGGCAGAGATCGGCGAACGTCCGATAAGAGGCTCCGATCCGGTTTTTCTCGAACGGTTCCCACCACGGCCGGGTGCAGGAAACCTCGGATAAACGAGATACGCATCAAATCTGTTAGGTGTAACGCGGGATAACGGGACCCGTCGACCCGACTAATCCAGCAGGTCGATAATTAACGCAAATTAACAACTTACGGTGAGTTTTTTTGCGAAGCCGAAATCAACTAGTTTCACGTATCCGCTAACGTCCAGCAACAGATTTTCAGGCTTGAGATCACGGTATATTATGTTCCGGGAATGTAGATAGTCGAACGCTTCGATGACACATGCCGTGTAGAAACGAGTTGTATGATCGTCGAAGAACCCCTTATCCCTGGAGGAGAAGATATATTATTATTTATCCAAAACAGAAGACCAAGCTAGTCATTTTACTTTACTACTCACCTAAGTATCGTCCAAAGTTCGCCTCCAAGGCAGGATTCCATCAACATGTAAAGATACTTGCGGTCCTTGAAAGTTTTATACAGTTTGACTATAAATTCACTGTTCGCCTCTCCCATTATTTCCTTCTCGGACATAATGTGCTGCTGTTGTCTCGTTTCGACAATCTGCAAAGTATTCCATGCTATATTTTCAACCGAAAGTAAAAAAGTTAATCCACTAACCTGACTCTTTTTCATTTGCTTCAACGCAAACGATCTCGTCGGATCATGTGCGATCTGTACAAGTTCGACTCTACCGAATCCACCGACGCCCAACGTGGCCAAAACTCTCAGTTCGCTCAGTCTCAGCCCCTCGAACTCCTCGTTGAGCCTGGCAGAAAAAAACACTATTTCTAAATCATATCGACAGAGAGTTAGCTTTGTACTAAATGAACACACGCATCCATAAAATACTCACTCCTTCCATAAAAATTTTACATAAATTCCAAATGAGTATGCATTGATTCTCAAGCAATTACAATTGCGAGACTTCATCTTTCCTTTCACTTCCATTCACTTACCTCTATTGTCCACAACCACACTGAACCAGCAGTAAACAGAAAATAAACGATAGCGTCAATCTTCAGATTAGATTAGTAAGAACAAAGATGCATTTTAGTTTAAGGGATGCATGGGTGGGGGTGGTGGAAAAATTTAAAGGTGATTTCGATAACACCGATTAGTACAATGATGAAATTCTATCAAATGTGACAGCATGCAACAACGTTCATAAAAAAATCGTGATTTTTGTCTAAATCTCCATTTTTAGATTGTAGTGTTAATAGTTTTTTTTTATCTACTTAAGGATTTTTAATTGACATCTTGGCTACTGCTTTGCGTAAAAAATGCGTCTCTAGTAAATTATTTAAAACAAAAGTAACCTCGTACTAGAAATGATGAAGGTGGGATATAGAGATAATTATGTAAGTAGAACAATCATTCACAAAAAGTGAAACTGTAACCAGGATTATGTTTTACAATTAATTAATTTTTATATAAGGTATTGGTTGAGATAAAAAAGTCAGTGTCACGAGCGGGATTCGAACCCACGACCTTCGGCTCAATACGCCACTGCGCTACCACTTCAGGCATCGTGACTTCGATCCACTTGGACACCAACTTCCCATCTCAACCAACCTTTCGAATTTTTTTTCTTTTTGTCATTTTTCAAATGTTGGGTAATCTATTTGAGTCTCGGCGACAAATTAAATGGCCATGGAGAGCTTGCAATTGGAGCGTAAAATAAGTCCGTAGGCAATTTTTAATAGCAAATTCAATGAAAATTTCAAGTACAACAGCCTACTTCCAAAAATTGTTTTGTAATTCCGTCCTCCCAGAACTTTTCGAGTTTTCCAGCGATCCTCGACGTGTTTTCTGCAGTTCTCAATTTAAGCAGGTTATCCCATTTTTAAAGTTTATCAAAGCACGGAAATATTAAAATATGATGTGGCATGTCAGGCGAATAGGCAGGTTGGGGAAGCACATCCCAGCCAAGCTCAACGCCAAACGATTAGCTAGCTAATGCTGGTAGTTTTTGTCAATTGATGACTTTAATCCAATTATGTGTAGTATACAATAAAATTAACGGTTTTGATGGGCGGAAGAAGCTCATAATAAAGTGCCGCCTTGCAACCCCACCAAATTGGGGATGATTTCTTGGGAATTGTGAACGGTAGGACAGCGCGTTTCCCCCAGGATTTTCCTCTCTGTACATTATTACAAAACTTTTCATCCCAGGTTATCAAACGTTTTTAAAAAAAGGGTCGTTTACATTGAGTTTTAAGAGCGAATCGCCGTCAAAGATGAGGCTCAATAAATTATTCTCAGCCAGAATCCAGGAGATGCGTTGAAACTCTTGTGATATGCTATGGATTTCTGAGATATCTTGTGTTGTTGAGTGTGGGTTATTTGTCACAAAAGCGTGAATTTTGTCATCATCAACAGTCGAAAGAGAACCGCTTTCAGGTCTTCCAAATAAACTCTGAACTGAGCAAACATTTATGACGATACTTTCTCCTAAAACATCGTACACCGCACAAATTTTCCTAGCAATCTGAACTGCGATTTTGCCTTCGCAGTAATAAAAAAACCCATTAAATGTCGAAAATGTACTACTATTGGGTTAATTATTTTAAATTTAAAATTATCAAAACTATAAAAGCAATTTGTAAAAACAAGAAATTTCTAACGAAACCGATGGATAAAAACACTTTAACTAATTTTCTTATTACCTCATTATTTAATTCTTTTTTCATTGCTTTAACTAAATTTCATACTGTGTTAAGAATAATGAATTCAATAAATACTGCCTCAAAAACACAATAGGAAGAAAATAAAATAATTGAAAAAAGCTAAGAATTCAACCCAATAAACAAAATGGCAATTATTACTATTATAAGAAGTGAGAATGTTCATAAACGTTTTAAACGAGTCACAAAAGTATTAATAAAAATTTATAAAAAGAAATTATGAATGTTCAAAAGCGCAGAATTGTACTTTATGAGTGTGAACGCGTCGTTTATCCTTAAATTATTATGAATTAAAATTTTTATGTAAGGTTTTGGTTGAAATGAAAAAGTTAGTGTCACGGGCGGGATTCGAGCCCACGACCTTCGGCTCAGTACGCCGTCACGATAGCTCAAGTGGTTAGAGCAGCGGCGTATTGGGCCGAAGGTCGTGGGTTCGAATCCAGCTCGTGACACTAACTTTTTTCATTTCAACCAAAACCTTGCATAAAAATATTAATTAATTGAAAGAAGTAATTTGGTTAATCAGACACTAAATAGAACGGATTTATTAAATTATTATATTTAACGATCATTTCTGTTTCATGACATATCATTCACGTTGAAATGACACATTGAATATGTAATTAAAAAAGAATAAATTCAAAAATCACAAGGATTTATGTATTATTCTGAAACTATTTGAAAAAATAATGCAATGTCGTAGTTCTGTTTGATTTTCACCAACAGAGCAAATGTGAACGTTTTTAATTTTGTATCATATTAGTATGTATTCTACACCTGCACAAACCTGCACAAATACGCAAGTTTTTTTTTGTTTAATTTTTAGAACGTTGTTTTAAAGTTTTAAAAGTTGAAACCTTTCGAGAAAAGCCCAGTGTCGTTGACATTTGCATACTCAAACCGTTACGTATAATTTTCGTCTCGAGAACTGGGCGAATTAGGACTAGAATGAAAACTCCCTTACCTTTTCCTGTCTATAAGCTCGTCTTTGTATCTCGTCCTGACTTCGTCCAGGCCGGAAATCAACTGGTTGAACGTCTCCCTGTCGATGACGAGGCAGGAGACACCTTCCGGATCATCGGCAATGATATTAGCTGTTCGGAGGTCATCACTAAACCATTTTTAAACATTAGAATATGCTGACAAGGATGTTGATTTCTTTATATTTAAAAACGGTTCTCACCCCTGTAACGCCTTCTCGCCGAAGAAATCACCTTTCGTCAATGTCCTGATGAATTTTTCTTCGACCGAGGTTGGCTGTTTCATGGTCACTTTGACCTACATCATAATAAAATATCCAATTTAACATTTTTTGTTGCAAAATTAGCAAAACAAATCCTGCTTACCTGCCCTTTGCTGATGATGAAAAAGGTATCACCTCGCGCTCCTTGTCGTATTATGTAATCTCCTTCGTTGTAATATGTCTGAAAATGTACAATATATTTAAATATTTGAATTGTATTGAACTGCAAAATTGCATTTAGTCGTTTTTCTATATTTTTTACTTTATTATTTATTCTTTTTTTACTGCCTACACACATTATAAATAATCAAATTAAAGGAGTATTAAGTGAAATTTCGTAGAAAATTTTATATCTTTTCACTGAAGAGCTTTCCTCGTTTTTATGATAACATGAAAATTTAACGAAATGTTATGAAATGTTAACGGACAGTGTAATTAACTATTACTGTATCAATTACATTTTTTCAAAAATAGACTCAACAGACAGGGAAATCGTGTTTTGAAGAACAAAACCTTTTAAAAGGTCGCGTTTCACTAAACTGTGGAGTTTGAAATTCTCCGTTGTTTTCATTAACCCCCCACTTTTTCCCCGGTGATTCAATTACAATATTAAATCCCTCCCTGACATCTAGGATGTACGATTTTCCTCCCCTCAAAGCAAATCGTTTTTCCAATTTCACGTGAAAACCGAAAAGGAAATTTGACCAACTCACCTCCTCCAACACGTCAGAAATTTTAATAAGCGTCTCCTCCGGGAGATTCTTGAAGATTGGTACGCTGCAACAGACAAACAGGCTCTTTGTTGTATTTTTAAACCAGGTTGCGTCACATATGTTGTACAGATAGCATCTAACTATTGTATTCTGTGCTAATATCAAAACGATCGGCCAATTGTCTTTGTAATGTCACTAATTTTGTGACCCTGATCAGTAAATTAAGAAAGGGCAATTATAGATTAAAATAACCTCTGAGGGCTTCTGGATCACCTAATAGGACTTCTATGCCTGGAAGCATAAACATTCATTTTTAATGAACCTGAAGGACAGGTTCGCTTTCCCACGAAGCAGTTAGGAGAATTCGACATAACAAATATTTTTAAAAAATCAAGTCAAAAAATTGACATAAATTTTGTCCATGTTTTAAACTATCGGATACCTCAAAATTGATAGAACTTTGAATCGTGAACCATTTGTTTGAAAACTGTAAGAAGTATTGAAAGCGATTGCCGGATAATTAGCACAGTTGAAAATTGTAGGTTAAAGTGTCGCATGTGTGCTGTCTCACCTCTTGAGGAAGTCTGTGTATTCTGTTTGCCTAATCAGGCCGGTCCTCATCATAATAGTCTGAAAGCATTGTCTTTCGATTGCCCATAGCTTGCAATCGCTCGCGGCTGAAAAGTACAAACAAGGACATTACAAAAAGTATAAGGGATTTTTAAATTCAGTTCATTTTTCCCTCCCAATTTTAGGATTGAAATAAAATATTACGTAGAACATGTGTTTTTTCATAACAGTTAAAAGTTACCCTTGATAGTAGCTGTCCTCTTGCAGTTGTACAGAATCGCCAGCTCTCCAAAAACCTCTCCGGACGCCAGCGTTCTGAGGTATTTGTTCTCTCTGGACGCCTCGACGCGCCCCTCTGGAAAAAAACAAAGAATGACTGGTGAGAATTTACAGTCTAGACATGACAATTTGTCTTTAATCGATGGTAGGAGTCTCGCTCTGAGTCAGAAACGGAAAGGATGGGATCTCTTAAGTAATCTTTCGTTTAAGCACAATAACCTTTTAAGCAACCGTGAGTCCGCTTCATATTAAGCAAAATTGCCTAAATAAATACAAAGGAGTCACGTCTCTATTGTCTTCTATTATCTAAAATAATTTCATTAGAGTTGAAAACATTCCTAAGAGTGGAAACGCTGCTATATCTGATCAACAGCGTTCTATCAACCTGCAAAACCCACCTAGCACAAACACTATAATAATTGTCCGAAATGCTTTACATTCAGAACTGTATTAAGAGATAAAGAAGAACACATCCAAACGATTCAAAGATCTAATTATCAATCCCAACTGATTTTTGTAATTACCTCAATATCGATTCAGAACAAAGAGATCTAGAAAGCTTTGGCTTTTATAACATTCTTTGTGAGAAATTTGAATTTCAAACACTTTCATTCATTGAAATATGTTAAATAAAGGTTAACGAAAGGACTTAGTCATAACTCAATTATGAGTCGATCAAACAGATTTGTATATCACAAAATAAATGAGCGTTCATACAATGCGAGTCAAAGAGTTGGGTAGCCCCCACGGTGCAAAGAAACCGTTAAAAGCAACAGTTAATTGTGATTTCATGGCGAAAGATATTCTGAAATGGGAAGATTGACAAACTACAAAACTTTTTTCCCTTCCACCTCTTGTGAACAGTTAAAGTAATAAATGGATAATACTTTTATAACACATCCTTGGCAATGTTACCAAAACTGCTCCAAAGCTAATTGTCCATTTCTCTCTTAGCAGTTATGAAATTATACTAGTGGGATCGAGATTTAGATGTCATCGTTTGCAAAACGTTCTGACATACAAGTTTTGATTATGACAGTATCATGCATTTCCATAAGACGGTTTAAGACAAATTTTTGTAGATTTCCATCATAAAATCATGACACGCTCTTGGCGGCATGTGATCTTCATGATGTTAGGTACTATCCACCGTTGAATCTTATGGATAAACCACTTTTCGATAGAGACAAAACGATACACGTTCCTTGTAGACATTCCGTCTACAAAGACCAAAAGGAGCGTCGGTGGCTGCAACGGTTTTGGCGTTGATACGGCGCTCATCACTGTAAGGTAAAGGTCCCGGGTTCGAATCTAGCGGCCCTGTATTCGAACCCGACTCTGATGTTGTAACGACATATGCACTTACAAATAGGCTTTTTTTTGTCAAAAACACCGACAACCCGAGAGTTGAAAAAAAGGCCCAAAAGCTATTTTCATTAAGTGAATGGCAGAAAAGAAATGATATAACATTTTTCTCTCTCGCCCTTTTTTTTATTAAACCTTGCTCTATATCTCCTTTACCCTTCACTCCCATTCATTATGTTTATTCCTCTCTAGCTCTCTCTCTTTCTTTCTCTCTCTCTCTCTCTCTCTCTCTCTCTCTCTCTCTCTCTCTTTATTTCTCTATCTATCTTTCTATGTATCTCCTCTTTCTCCTCTTCCTCTATTTATTTTAATCTCTCTTTCACTGCTTTATACTCTCACTCTCTTCTCTCCTCTCTTTTTCTCTTTCTATGTCTCTATCTATCTATTTATCCTCTTCCTCTATTTCTTTCAATCTCTCTCTTTCTCACTCTCTATTTCTGTATGTTTGTTCCTCTCTCTCTCTTTCTATCTCCCAGCCACAATCTCACTCTTTCTTATTTCATTTTCTCCCTCATTTTCCCTCTCGCAAATCTCTCTTTCTATCTATTTCTTATTCGATCTATTTCTCTTTTCATTTGTTTTCCCTTATTCAGTAGCTTCGTTATCTCTCTCTCTCTCTCTCTCTCTCTCTCTCTTTCACTCTCACTTACTCTCTCTCACTCTCACTTACTCTCTCTCACTCTCACTTACTCTCTCTCTCTCTCTCCCTCTCTTTCTTTCTCTCCTACTTACTCACTCACTCACTCACTCACTCTCTCTCTCTCTCTCTCTCTCTCTCTCTTCCAATCTCTATCTCAACACCTCTTTCTTTTTCTCTATTACCCTGTCATGCTAACTGTCCCTTCTGTATTCTCGATATTCTCTGTCTTACCGTAAATTGTAAATCGTTCCCAACCAAAATTTGCGGGATTATAGAAATAAAATGATACTCATTCAGTCATTCTTTTTATCTTCCATTGCCTCTCTCTTCATTCTTTCCAATACACATACACGCACGCACGTTCCTTGGACGTGATTTTTAAATCTATGTAGAAATATAAATGCTAACTACAGTATATACAATGCAGTATTGTAGTTTATAAAATGTTGGATGATTGGCCAATACACTTCTTTTTCGTTCAGATCTCTTCATTTTATTGGCAATGAGTCAGGTTTTGTAAACTTTCACTTGTATAAGCACGTCTAAGGTCCTTAACGACAAGCGTATTAGATGAAATTAATTCTCATGGTGAAATTACACGGATTTTTCGTGATTATCTTCTTATAATAACACCATTTCTGGTAGGCCATTTGCCAGGGCGCTCCTGCTTATCCATGAGTCACAAAATTCGCCGTTCTCTTAGTCAGTCTTTTGAAATTCATTTTAATTCTATTGAACATTTTGTACGCGTCGTATGACTCACGGATTTATTTCAGTCGGGAAAGCTGTTTATTGAAAAATCATTGGGCAAGCATACTCGGCCGAGTTTTGACCGAGGTGGGGAGGTTACTGACTGACCTATTACAAAAATTAGTCACGATTGTACTCATCGGAATATCTTGATCGACCACTTCAACAATTCTTTAATGACGCACACTTCGAATTGAAAAATTCTCTAAAATATCTAAATGATCTTTTGGTTTGAATTGAAGCAGTTCGACAAACATTTGTGTGACGTTTCCAACTGGAGATTGCAAAACCTGAATGGCTTGTTCGGCTGGTCAAGGGCCACAGCTTAGAAAATGTCTCAGAACCAATTTCAAATTATATTGGTTTTTCCAAGGATTTTGTCGGTAACCACTGTTTGTGCACGTATTAGCAATTATCTAGTTAATCATTTTGTTTGTAAACACTTTCTCTGTAATTTGAATCTGTTATATTTTTTTTCTTCTGGAAAGTTTTTCGTGTGTGATTGTTCTATTTTTATTTTTAAAACAAGAAGAAATTCCTACAATGCTTCTGCTGCAATTAAGGCGGCCGACAAGACAAATACAGTGAAAATTGAAAACTGCGAAAACAAAACTAACAGTACTGTTCTGTCCTCATTTTTGAATCAGAAAAACTGGTCTAATTGCTAAAATAAATGAGGGGAACGGAGTATGTGGAAAAACAGTAGATCGAAAGCCCAGTGGGAAGAAACATACATACAAAACGATATAAAAAGGGAAGGCCAATAGGTTGGGTTAAAAGGTTTTATAGAAAAATAGCGTCGCTGCATACAACAAACAATTAGAATTAGCATCGAAAGTTTAAAACTTAAAATGCGATGACTAGGTTGTTGAGTCACGGATTTGGACCAATTTTTTTTGGTGATTTTATACTCCAAAATAAGGGACATGTATTCGCCACTTCTTGTGCATAGGCTCTGTTTTCGCCAATTTTTTTTTTTTTTTTGAAGTCGAAATTTTCCGTTTTTAATATTTTTATTTCGCCGTTCTACTTACTCAAATCAACTACATTATCTATCGTTTTTATATCTATCATACTTATCATCTTCTATCATTTTACAACATTTTTTAAGTAGATTGCATTAAAAATAAATGGAAAGCTATCAAAGTTTATCAATAACCAAAATATTTTTTAAAATCAAATATTTTTCAAGTAAAGTAGGTAACAAATATTTTTTTCGTGAAACATTTATATTTCGCCAAAAATTTTTTTTTAAAGTTTAAATTTTCCATTTTTTAAATATTTTTATTTCGCCGTTCTACTTGCTCAGATGTACTATGTGAATATATATATCATTTTGCAGTTTTTTTATTTAGATTGCAATAAAAAATACAGTAAAAGCTATTAAATTTATCAATAACCAAAACATTTCTAAAAACAAAATATTTTTCGAGTAAATTAGGTCATAATTTTTTTTTCGTGAAACTAATATGACATTTCGCCAAAAAAGTTTTTTGAAAGTAAATTTTTCATTTTTTTAATATTTTTATTTCGCCGTTCTACTTGATCATATCTACTATGGAAATATGTCATTTTACAGCATTTTTATTTACATTGCAACATTAAAAGATCAGTTTATAAATAACCAAAACATTTCTAAAACCCAATTATTTTTCAAGTAAACTTGGTCATAAATTTTTTCGCGAAACGACATTTCGTCAAAAAAAATTTTGTTTAAGTTTAAATTTTCATTTTTTTAGTATTTTTATTTCGCCGTTCTACTTGATCATATCTACTATGGAAATATGTCATTTTACAGCATTTTTATTTACATTGCAACATTAAAAGTTATCAGTTTATAAATAACCAAAACATTTCTAAAACCCAATTATTTTTCAAGTAAACTTGGTCATAAATTTTTTTCGCGAAATGACATTTCGCCAAAAAAATTTTGTTTAAGTTTAAATGTTCATTTTTTTAGTATTTTTATTTCGCCGTTCTACTTGATCAAATCTACTACTATATGAATGTATCATTTTACACCATGTTTTAGATTGCAAAAGTATAAGCTATCAAAGTTTATCATTAACCAAAACATTTCTAAAAACCAAATATTTTTCAAGTAAACTAGGTGATAATTTTTTTTCGTGAAACTAATATGAGATTTCGCCTAAAAAAATTTGTTTGAATTTATATTTGTCGATTTTTTGACCCCTAAATTTTTCCGAATTTTTAGAAGTCGTCCTCGGAATAACTGAAACTGCAATGATTGCAAAACGAACAAAAGGATTTTAACGTCAAATATACCAGAAGAGAAACGTAGCTTTTAACGACATATAAAC